GTAAGGGGTAAGCTATGTTAGGTGAGGGGCAGATAAGTTAGGTAAGGTTAATGTATGGTAGGAGCAGGTTAAGTTAGGTTACGTTAAGTTAGGCTAATGCAAGGTAGGAGTAGGTTAGGTTAGGGTAATGTATGGCAGGAGTAGGTTAGGTTAGGTTAATGTATGGCAGGAGTAGGTTAGGTTAGGTTAGGTTACGTTAAGTTAGGCTAATGCAAGGTAGGAGTAAGTTAAGTTAGGGTAATGTATGGCAGGAGTAGGTTAGGTTACGTTAGTTTTGGGGGCTGATAAGACTGGGGCTTAATTATGAGAACTAGGGCTTTATTATTAAGAATGGTGCCAATTATTAGAACTAGGGCTTAATTGGACTGGGGATCATTAGTGCTGGGCCCTTATCTAACCAGCCAACCATCGTTGTTGCTTCACCTTGATGTCGTTCTCGTGAACTGTGTGTCTGCATTGGTCAGCCTTTGTTCTTCCTGTCCGTGGTTGACCCTCTGCTGCCCTCGACCCTTAAGAGAGCTGCTGGGGTCACTTTATGTAATTTATTGTATTTCCCTGTAGTTTTTTTGCAGGTGCCCTTCAGTTTGCTTATGCTGTGTGTTGGGCAGAAGGAGGCGCAGTAGGTGGACCATTGTGGTGTTAGGGGGCTGATGGGAGAGGTAAGGCCCCGATTGTCTGTATGCCATCTTGATAATGTCTCCGCCACTACTTAATCACATCTCTTGAGTTGAGGTCACCTTAGGCATCTGCTGTCTCAGGCCGCTTAATCCACGGTTGAGACTTGCTCGGCCTCTCGCCCGCCAGCCACTCGCGTTCTCCGGTAAAAGCTCCTCACTGTCAACATTGTATGAGGGTCATATTGTGATGGTACGTGCCCTTACTTTCGTCACCATTTCTTTTGTTTCTTCAGTGACTTTGGTTCATCCTCTAGAATACATTTTTTTCTTGTTAAGGCGTGTTAGATCATCGTGTATTGTCAAGGTGAAATGATCCCTTTGTAAGGACTTCGTAATGATCAGAGTCCTTCCCGGGTGGCCATGGGTCTTGAGTCATTATAGTACTTAGGGTAAATTTCAAGACGAGTGCCTTTGTTCCCAGCTGTTCTTGACGGTATATAAGCTGTTACGAACATCTCACAGTGATGCCAACTTGTGTAGGTTTTAACCCTTCTGTTGGCTGGCTATAGTGACTCACTTCAGTCGCTGCCAGATGATTTTTTTAAAGCGTTTTGTCTCTGAAGAGACTCCATACACAGATTGTTGGTACCTGTCTGATAAGAAGTAGTTCCTGTCGCTTGTTTGGTGCCCCCAGTCTCGTCTGCTATCTACAATATCCTGAAGGGTGAAAAGTTCTCCCGATGGGGCGAAATGTTCTTGAAAACACCTTTTTAGCTCTTATATAATGACACACACGCCCGGAGCAACAAGCACCCTCTCTACACGCACTACAAATATAATGACAAACGCCTTTATCACTACAAGTTGCTTTTCAATACCTTTAGTATAGAAACTCCGAGAACGTAAGTGTGTGTGTGAGAGATCGAGAATACATAGTTCAGTCAACAAACAAGGAAGTTATACCGGTTCGACCTTGGGATAAATTTTCATCATCAACACATGTCAGGCGGTGTTGGTCGGCCTTTAAGGTGAAAATATTTCATCAATAATTCCTAACATATTTTTTTTACTTAGGTTAGGTTAAGTTAGGTTAGGTTAGGTTACAGTTCTCAAGCAGCTCACCTATGTATTGAACTGTGACAATATTAGCTGTACACTTTTCTGGTGGAATTAAAAGTTTCAATGTGGCGGGTTTGTTGTCTGTGTCCACGCTTCCTGACACACACACACATTCGCTGGCAATTTAAGAGGTCATATCATTGTTGGCAGTTGGCACCATACTGTTTTGGCAGCCTGTGTGTGTGTGTGTGTGTGTGTGTGTGTGTGTGTGTGTGTGTGTGTGTGTGTGTGCAGGAAAACAACCATACGCGTGTTTTCTTCCACTAGGCTACTAGCTCAGTTTAGACCATATCCATATCAAGACCAAATGCTGACTAAGACGCGTGCCGACACACACACACTTAAACACGTGCTGACATAGAGGTACGTGGTCATAGGACTTAAGCAGGTTTTAACACCTTTCCGTATTCAGGCCGGTTCAACCCCCCTCGCTCTGAACTCCGTCCCCTGGCGCACAAACACACACACACACACGTTGTTCCTAATGTTGCCATCACCACCACAACCACACAATCACCACAGCCCACACCAACACCACTACACCATCACCACCACCCACATCATTACAGCCACATCATCACTACTATCACCACAACCACACAGCCACACCACCACAGCCACACCATCACAGCCACACCATCACCACCACCCACACCATTACAGCCACATCATCACTACTATCACCACAACCACACCACCACAGCCACACCATCACCACCACCCACACCATTACAGCCACATCATCACTACTATCACCACAACCACACCACACAGCCACACCATCACAGCCACACCATCACAGCCACACCATCACAGCCACACCATCACCACCACATCCTCAGTGACCTGCTGTTTATTCTCAGTGTATAGTTAAATTTAGCCTGACTGACCGGTATAAATTTTTGTTTACGCTGACGAAGGTTCTCTTGGCGTCCTTCCAGGGCTTCAGCCACCTATACCTCCACACCTGTGTCTTAGAGGTGTGTCGCTGAGTAATGCTTGATGGACATATAGGGGGGAAGTTGGACGCGTGGGGAGTTAGTTGGACACGTGGGGAGTTAGTTGGGTGGGGAGTTAGTTGGACACGTGGGGGAGTTAGTTGGACACGTGGGGAGTTAGTTGTGCACGAAGGAATTAGTTGGATACGTAAAACAGCTGGTCACGAAAGGAGAGGGAAGGGATGGTCGGAAGGAGAGGGGACGAACGGACGGACGGGAGGGAGGGACGGAAGGAGGGGGGGGGGAGGGAGGGAGGGAGGGAGGGAGGGAGGGAGGGAGGAGGGAGGGAGGAGGAGGGAGGGAGGGAGGGAGGGAGGGAGGGAGGACGGGAGGAGGGACGGAAGGCGAGGAGGGACGGGAGGGAGGGGAGGAGGGAGGGAGGGAGGGTTAGTAATGGTAAGAGCGTGAGAGAGCACGTTATTGGTCCACCAGCTGAATGACGTCACTATGGCATGGCGGCGTCACGTGTGGATTACTCATCTTCCTTATACGTGTGTTGATATCTGTCTGTCTGTTAGTTTGTTTGTCTATTGGCTTACCTGTTATTCTGTTAATCCGTTAGTTCTGCTGTTACCCTTAAGAAGCTAAATATCACAATTACTGGAATCTGTGTGTGTGTGTGTGTGTGTGTGTGTGTGTGTGTGTGTGTGTGTGAGTGAGTGTGTTTGTGGTAGGTCTTTTACGCACATGTTAAACACGTGTGATATATCAGTCTGTCGTGGTGCCCCTTGTGAATATAATATTAGAGAACTGTTACTGTCGTCACTTACTTGAAATGTCACTTGGTAGGATGCTGGTTCACCCAAGGGTTGTTCCATCATGTCTGTAAGTAATGAATTGGTTAGGTTAGGTTAGGGATCAGTTCTTTGCATTTAACCTCAACTGTTAGTACCTTTAAATGTTATTCTTATATTAGTATTATGGTGAATCTTCCTTAACTGGGAGTTGGTACCTTAAATTATTACGTTTAGGGGACAAATTTAAGGGAGACGTTTTAGGGAAATATTTAAGGGAGTCGTTTAAGGGAGTAATTTAAGGAAGATATTTAAGGGAGACATTTTAGGGAGACATTTAAGGGAGTCGTTTTAGGGAGACGTTACATTAAAATGGTTTAATTTTGGTGGATAAACGGGTGTGTTTCCGGTTGACCTGCACTTGTGCGTTGGCCGCAAGGGCTGTGGTGTGTACGGAAATGACGACGGGAGGAAGAAGTTTTTAGTATGTGTGTGTGTGTGTGTGTGTGTGTGTGTGTGTGTGTGTGTGTGTGTGTGTGTGTGTGTGTGTTTAATGAAGCGGAGTTCTTATTATGGCAAGTTATTATTATTATTGTTGATATTGATATCATTGAATATTACATATTAATTAATATTATTGCGATATTATAATCATTTTCCGTGTACTGCCTCGCTGTTTGAGAGGCACTTAAACTGAGTCAAAAGCTGAGTGGAGTGTACAGTTGGGTGCAGTTTAATGCCTTGTGGGGGTAAGTGATGGTAGGTCGCCTTTACTCGTGTCAGGTAAGTTATATCTCCCTCAAAAACTTGTATGGGCGGCTAGGAGGGAGGGAGAGTCGGGCACTGTGTCTGCCGCGTGACGGCTCACGTGTGTAAGTCTTTGTTTGGATTAACCCAAAAATTCTTCCGTCATGCTGCAACTGTTTGTTTGTGTAGGGTAATGACAGCAGGTGACAGGTAAGAACAAGTGTGTGTTAGACCTTTAAGTGTTGTCGTGTGCATGGCGACCCACGTGCAGGGCCGCGGTCACGTGTGCTGTGCTCCCTCCTCCACCCCTCCCCCACCTCCTACCTCCCGCGCCTCTGCCACATCTTCCGACTCTGCCACATCCCAACCATTCCTATCCCAAAGGGTTAGGATACATTAGGATGTGTTACTGGTCTTTATTTTATGTATCTTAAATTATTGTGTGTCATAGAGTAATACTGTGATGTACTGTCGGGAATAAGATGGTTGTGTAGGAGCGCCAGACTCCCATAGCCTTGATGGCATCTGGCGACCTCTGGAAACTCTCCGGTGTTAGTGTGCCACACAACTATTTTATTATATTCTTAGTTTTGACTTAATAATGATCATCAAAACAATAAATAGGAAGCTAAATGAAGCATGTTTACCTTATATGATTTTTAGGGTGTTGGGTATAAAGGCGGGGGTAATATGAGACATTAAATATGTGGGTGATGATCGTAAAGTGTGGAGCTGCACGTGACCACTATATACACACATACACACACATAAGAGACGTACATGGTTGGTGGCGCGCACACAGACACTCGCAGCAGGTTCACCCTACCTCAGTCGCCTACAACTCTTGCCAGTGTTGACAGCGATCTCTCGTGTCAAGATGTGTACTTACACCGCAACAATATTTCTGGAGTGAACTTAAGTTTTCTCAACAGCAAGATAGTGTTTATTATACGGTGAATTAAGTTCAACTTAATACAGTGGAAGATGAATGTTTACAAGTTCCATACTTCACATATATTCTCCCCAACTGACACAGGCATCGTGTGTACTGGCGTGTCTTGTTAATGAACTAATATATTAATATATTTTACAAGGTAGCACAAACAGTTGACAACTTTACTGAAGACAAGAGACGTAACTGTGTGAGAGATGACCCCGGCGACAGTTAATATATTCTTGTAAAAGTTCAGTGCTTATACCTGTCCAGTAGGACGTGAGAAATACTTCAACATTACGCTCAACAGTGTGAATAATACTGCAGTACAGGAGTCTTGGCAGGTCTCGTGTCCAGCCCGGCACTAACTTGGCACCGGTGGGGTCAACCCTAACACAATTGTTCTCCCACCTTGAAAATAGTGCCCCGGCTTTCTGAAGTGTACGCAAGACACAACACGCGTCACGTGTCTGTACAGACTTATCTTGTGGCATCCTGGAAAGATTTTATTCAGTTTATGTTTAGTATTGCGACTGCTGGATAAGACATTGGCTGAGCGGGCACCCTTAATGGGCGTGGATGTTTGCGTGTGAAGTAGTTTCGCTGTACTCCCCTAGTGGGCAGCGGTTAGTGAGCGAGTTTGTCCTCATCTTCCATCAACAACCAAGTTTACACCTCTTCGCCCGGCTCCACCCCGACCCACTCTGGGATCAGGGGTAAGACTGGTGTTGGAGGACATCACGCTGGTGATGGCAGCTGTAGTGAAGGAAGAGCCCGAGGCCTCCTACAGCCTTTCTCTCTTATTAGGTGATCGTAATCCCAGGTGCAGAGCCATGACCGCGTCGGCCGTAGGCGGGGCACCAACACCCGCACAACACCAGCACAACCTTCACCCTCAGGCACACGCGCCTCTCCACCAACAGCAGCAACAGAATTGTAACAGCCAACAGTTACCGCAGCACAATAATCAACACCAGCCACAAACACATCAGCCGCTCATGAATGGAGGACCCTTTGAGAGAGCCCCGGCACACTCCCCCTCCACCATGCCGCCCGCTGAACCAACCAAGAGGCATCCCTCACCCAACAAACCTCCAGCAAACGTAAGCATTGTTGCTGAGCATTACTACTGTACAGTATATGCCAGTAGCTCAGTAGATAAAGGAATATTACAGTATTTATTTATTTATGAAAACAGAATTAGATTGTACTTCTGATTTCATATTAATGTGTGTTGGAACGAGACATTGTTTTACTATTAATGTTAACCTCATTTACAGTACAAGCGAGTTTAGTATTACAGAAATCCATGATCACCAGAAACAAACATATTAATTTACAAGAGCAGTATCTGGTGCAGAATAACACACGCACAGTGTGAGAGAAGGTGAGGAATTATCAGTCACAGCCTTGGGTGAGAGGTGAGGTGGGTGAGGAGAGGAGGGTCACTGTGTTCATTACTCAAACATCCGTACTGGTCAGCTTCATCCCTCAACAGTAAGGCAAACACTACACCTTAAATTTCCATTGAACACAAACCTAGCGGATTAACCTAACCCAACCTGGCGGAGTAACATATATATATACTGTATCCTCACTGTAGTCATCCCATCTTTCACCAGCTAAGTCTCCACAAGTTATAATAAACAGTTAAATATGACATCTTGATAATCTCTTCAAAGTCTTAACAAACTGTATTTTCCAAAAGTTTATATATTAAATATTCTTAAGATGTTGTACAATACCGTAAACTTTCAAATCTTTGTCTCTCCTTACCTACGTCTCCAATGGGATCACCTGAAGAATCTCCATGCCAGCTTATTTCACCTGAAGATTAACCACCCTAACAATATTTGGGGGATGAGGTGAGCTTAGGTTAGGGTTAGATTAGGTGGTTAATATTTAGGAAAAAATAAGCTGGCATGGAGATTCTTCAGGTGATCCCCGAGAAGTGTATTAACATGTACAGTCTCGTTCAAGATTCTTCGAACACTGCTGGAGACAGCTGACAACTCAAGGCCGTTTGTTTACTCTAGTACGTAGTATAATATAATAATACGACACTACAAAGCCCTACTATTAAATTGAGCAACGGTGAACTAAGTAACCAATCACCGGCCACTTTTACATTTATTCATAATTTTTACTACGTACTATAGTAAACAAACGGCCTTGAGTTGTCAGCGGTCTCCAGCAGTGTTCGAAGAATCTTGAACGAGACTGTACATTGTCTGTATGTTAGTTCGATGACTGAATGAAATTATTATCCTCCTGGCCAATTAGTAAAATACAATGGGGCCCTACGTGTCAACATAGCACTTATACACAATTGTATTGAAACTGTTAACAGCACTCTTGCAGTCTCTGTGTGTGTACGTGCAAGCTTTTAATATGTTAGTAATACTGGGGCTGAGTCAGGGCCTCCCCAGGGCAGGTGAACACGTGATCAAGTCCAGTCAAGGTGTGAAGGCCAACAACGAGCTTTTTTGCACAGGTAAAAGCATCATAATTAATGGGAAATTATATTACCCTGAACTCTCTATAAAGATTTAGTTGAAAAAAGAATTCTGTAAAAATCTATGGAGAGTGAGATAATTTAGAATGATAATCTGGTCCATAAATATTGAGTTGAGAAGGGTGATCACCTTAGCCACCTAACCGGTTTATATAATTACTCTGCCTCATCAAAGTTGTTTAATAATCTGCCCTAAGTTCAACTCGAAAGAAGGTCCCTCCCTAAGTTCAACTCAATAACCAACCCTTAAGTTCAACACAAAAGAACGTGCCCTTAAGTTCAAATAAATAACCAACCCTAAAGTTCAACATAAGAGAACGTGCCCTTAAACCCTTTGAGTACGATGACTTATCCTCTTGAGTACGATGAGTTATCCCATGAGTACAGCATCACAGTACTCAAGAGAATCCATCATCATTGTCTCTGGGTTAAACATAACGAGTACCGAGTCAAGCATCTAGTTAATGTGTGGAAGCCTTGTCATGGAGAAACAGCATCTATCTCAAGTAATGGAAGCTTCCCCAATGTTGTTAGATAAGTGTGACTCGTCAGATCGTTCAGGGTCTCTTTAGCAAGATCGTCCACGTGTCCTGTTGCTAACGTATTGTGGGAAGGAGTAAAATAGCCGATGGTATGCCACTGGTGGTGGGTTAGGGTTGGGTGACACGTACAGCCAACCAGTTTCAAGTCTCTCCTCTTGCCTGTGTGTTGCCAGCCAAGGAAGTACTTGAGCTGTAGGTCGTGTTGTTGACTGAAGGCCGGGGGTAATTACTATAAACTAGACATTTCTATCTGTTCTATGTTAGTAAAGACACATTTTATCATGATTTCAATTGACAAGGAAGGAACAAAAATATATTTATTATCTAGATGCGTGATGTTGCTCGTAAAGTCTTGTGTAAGTTTATTTGTGTAAGTCTGATGGTTTGTACTGACCCAAGTGTCTGGGAGTACACAACATATAAATAAAGTTGGGTACAGTAGACACCTATACAACATGGTGTTGAGAAAAATATGACAATGGAATGGACGAAGGATTTTGGCAAGCCTACCAAGACAATAAGAGTCTTAGGCCTCTTTCACACTATGCGGGTCTTCGCCGCACCTACAGTAGATGCGGTCGACGCACTGGAGAGGCCACGGTTTTCTGTCGCACATTCGTCCGGCTGCCGCGTACAGCGACCAAACTTTGGACTCCTGTCTACAGTTTGCAGCGTACAGGCGCGGTACCAGACAAGTCCAGTGGGACGCCGCACATGCAATCCGGCATTGGACCGGCGAATTCGCTGCAACCGCATAGTGTGAAGACGTACATAAGAACTATCAGTCGACTGCTATGTCCGGCACCGCACCGCATAGTGTTCATTCTGAAATACATCGATCACCCTCAAGCAAAGATATTTTTTTTGAGTGACTGAACATCTTGGTGAACAGTCACACAGTAGAGTGTTTGCGTTCATAAACGACCAAATGTCGTACATAATAAATAATTATCTTGAAGGAGAACAAAAAAGGATTTAGCTGATGAGATTCATAGCACTGGGAGAGCACCTAACCTAACCAAACCAAACTTAACCAAATTCGAACATATTCCATTAGTGTAAAAACTTTCATCAAAGTTCAATACAGATGCGGCGTTAAGCGGGGGAAAGGGAAAAAGCAGTGGGAAAAAATACCTTTAGATAATGAAGGCTTTATTTTATATACTAATGGTGTAAAAGATGGCTAGTGACGTCATGTTTTTTTATCATTAATGTTCCGACATATACAGGCGTGTGTGTTGGGAGAATCACCAAGAGATATAAGGGAGCGTTACTTCTCTCTCTCTCTCTGCAGTAGTAGTAGCCAACCGACCACCTAATTCACCCTCTCCCCTTTTTTTCATTCGGCCAAACAGACTTTTCTACCTCTTCTGCCTTCGGATCCCCTGAAGAATCTCCACCCCAGCTTATATCACTTAAAGATGATCCATCCTAACGCTGTTGGGTTAAGTTAGCATAGGTTAGGTTAGAACAGATTAGCGTTAGGATGGTTAATCTTTAGGTGAAATAAGCTGTGGTCGAGAATCTTCAGGTGTTTTGAATTGTGTCTATTATTATTTATTATTATTATTATCATCTTGTGATGGGATTTTGTCGACTGCGAAATAGGCTGATGAAGGAAACTATGATAAGCCAATGTGAAACCCGCTAAAAGGAAGGAGGGGAGGAGGAGGCAAGGAAGGGGGTGGGAAGGTCATGTTACTAAGATACAGACAGTGAATGCTTGCGAGTAGGGCTGCTTAGTAATTGCCGCCGCATGCCAGTCTTGATCTTTACAAGAACTGAGAATGACGTCAGCGTTCACGTGAGCCGGGAACAAGGTTTCCGCTTGGACCGGGAGGCCCCCGTGTCCTGATCGATCACGCCGCCTTGGCATCAGTCTTGGCCTCTACCATCCACGTGCGTTAGTGACTCTTCAATAACCGACAACGTGATAATTATACTAATTGTCCTTTCCGCCATTAATATTGTTCTACCGAGCGACAGTCATTCCCAAATAACCTTGGACGCACACACTAGCTTGAGGAAGACTTTCATCGTAGGGAACATGTGTGTCGAACTTGGCAACCAGACTTACGACAAACATTAAGCAATCGCGAGCTAACTTATTCCACTGAGGAGGCACGTTAGTTCAGTCTCATTTATGTCTTTTGTAGTTTATTACCGGTAGATTTTATGTAAGCCTCAAAATCTGGCCGCGAGTTAGGTCGAGCAAGTCACATGTTGGGTGGCGAGGTTCACTCCAATATGTGACTCTTGATAAGTAGTTGACGCCTTCCTGTGTCATTAACTTCTCAAACCTTTTATAACTTCTCTGCCTCCTGAAACTGCTGACCCTCACTTTTCCTACACATGCAACTGGTCACCTTCCCTGGGCATCACTTCTGGTTGTGTAGGGTGTAGGAGAGAGAGGTGGACCTCGCGAACAATATTATTATCAGAAGGAAAATGACATTGATATCAAATTAACTTTCCCGCCTACATTTTCCTTCTTTTAACTTTAAATCACCATAAACTTGTAATATAACTCAATGAACTGTAAATATTATTGGCGAGGTAATAAAGTTAATGATAATAACAAAATAACACTTGCTAGCCTGACAATTGTTTATCTTCAGCTACTGTACTGTATTGAGTTGTGTACGTGACATTGATAGTAAGTTTATAAATATACTGTACACGGTAAACCTGTAATATTGTGTGTTATCACGTGATTGGTGGGTGGGGACTGACGTCATGGTTGTGAACAGATGGTAAGTTTACGCGTGATTGGTGGGTGGGGACTAACGTCATGGATGAGAAAGGATAGTATGTTAACGCGTGATAGGTGGTTGGTGGGTGGGGGGACTAACGTCATGGTTGTGAACAGATGGTAATTGGTGGGTGGGGGGAATGACGTCAGAGATAGGGGGGTGTCGTAGCACGTGATTGGAGGGATGGGACTGATGTCATGGCCCACGTGCGAGAATCATCGACCAGCGAGAGGTAGGAATTCCTAGAGTGACCCAAAACTCAGTGGGAGTATATAGTATCAGTAGGCTTAGTGGCGGGGCGTTGTGGCAAATGGTACGAGGCCTCGTGACTTATCTCTCTCTCTCTTGCTTCACCATCCACCCACGGCCTTGGCAAGACTTTTAAGCCTAGCCAGACCAGAAGGCCTTACCCTACTTTTAGCCAAACCTAACCAAGCCTAATCTAACCTCGCCTAGCTAACCTAACCTAGTGTAACTAAACAGGGTGTTAGTTACAGGTATTAAAAAGACTATGGCTAATATGGCAGTTTGTTATTATTATTAGAGATGGGAGTTGTTGAGGAAGGGAGAAGGCAGATGAGAGGGAAGGGGAGAGAGAGGGGTGGCACGAGAAACAAGGTCAGTGAGGGAGGTTGGGGCCCTAGCCAGTCGACCAATAGTGTCTTGCGTAATTTTTTTGTTATCTGTATTTTTGCCTTTATTATTATTATTTCGGTTTAGTGTTAGTTAATGTTTATAAATGCAGTTTTATTTACAGTATTTACTTGTTTGTGTTTGTCATTTCTTAAGTGTTGTCATACCAAATTGATTAACTGTGTGTGCGTGTGTGTGTGTGTGTGTGTGTGTGTGTGTGTTTGTTTGTTTGTTTGTTTGTTTTAAGTCAGTACACAAGCAAATACTCGATGAAGCACTTAAATGTGTATTACCATGGTAGTGCGTCCCCCTGTATTGACAGCTGAGTGTGTTGGAAGTGAGTGGAAGAGTGAGTGCTTGAGTGAATGACGGAATTTGAGTGAAAATGAGTGTTTACGTAAGAGTGAGGGCTGGTTGGTGGGAGAGTGATGGGTGATGGAAGAGTGTGTGGTGGTGGTGCCTCTTGCTAGGGCCGGGTCGATGAGTTCCTGCTCTTCCGGGTTGTGTTGTGGTGGTCTGCCGCTCCTCCACCCCCACCACGTGAGGGGTGGCACTAGGATAAGGTGGGTGACACTTAGGACATGGTGGGTGGGATTTGAGACGTGATGGGCGGCACTTTGGACATAGTGAGTGGCACTTGGACATGGTAATATCACCTGTTGATGACACCTAACGGGTTATAGGTCAATTAGGTAAGGTTAAGTTATCGTATGACCCCCGATAAAAAATTTTTGAGCCTAGCTACTTTTTATTAAAGTCTAGATACATTATGTGTTGGGTTTAAACTAGAGAGAGAGAGAGAGCAGACACATTCAGGACATAGATTTCGTTGACAACAGACTGTGATAAAACTACTAAGAACTTTTCACTTCCGGTAGTCGGTAGTCAGCCACCTGGGTGATAAACCTCAGCCAACATACAACACCCCAGAAAAATATCTATACGATTCATGTTAGACAATATGACACTAAGGACGAAGAAGTCTGACACAACCCTACCAAGACAACTGGAGTCCCGGTGATCATTTTTAAATTCATCGATCCCCTCAGTAAAGATACTTTTGGGGAACGAGAACAGGAAAAAAGAAATATTAGCTAAAACGATAAACTCACCCAGTCACCCGGAGAGGTTAGGAAAGTTATTATTACTATTTGGCGCGTGTGTGTTGGGTGGAAGGGGGGGGGGGACCTTAGTATCTAGGGGGGAGGGGAGGGAGGCCTTGCTATCTAGGGGTCGTGATGCTAAACTTACACTACTGGGGAAACTGGTGCTCTTTATATACGGGTTACGTTAGTATGTACGCCACTGGTTATGGAGTGATTTATTGACGAGGGCGATTTATTGGCGAGTGACGAGTGCGATTTATTGGCGAGTGACGAGTGCGATATATTGGCGGTCGTCATTGTTATATTACAGTCCAAATGACCCAAATAAGTATGTATGTACGTGTGGCAGTATACCTCGAGCTCAGTACAGTTGACCATGTGGTATAGTGGCGCCACTCCTTATCGACCCTCTCCCTCCCTCCTTCCTCACTCAAATGTCTAAATAATCCACTTGTTTTTCTCTCATTACATTATCATCGTACATACTCTCTCACACCCTATTTCACATTCATTTTGACGCCACCATTATTCTCCAGTTTCACATTCTATAATTTGTTTTAATGTATTCCAGCTTCACCTGTGTGTGTGTGTGTGTGTTCCATCTCCTCCTTCAGTGCTTCCATAGCAGCCATCCTTCCCCTCTCCTCCCTCCGTCACCCAGGCTGTGGCCACGAGCGAGGTCGACCTCAAACACGTGAGGTGGAGGCCCTGTCTCGTCGCCCTTCTGCCACCCCACCTTTAAGTCCACACACACACGCCCGCCCACACGCGAGCGAACACACACACACACACACACACACACACACACACACACACACACACACACACACATACATACATACATATATACATATACACGCGCGAGCGAGCAAACACATACACGTGCGAGCGAACATACAATCATACACCCACCCACCATAGATCCTTTCTCTGAAGATGAGAGAAAGCATCGACACAGGTGAATTCTCAGTGTTATTTTGCGATAGAATTTACCCCCAACTTAAGAGTGTGCATGCCCTTAACAAGCTACCTTAAATTCGATAGAAAGGTGGAATTTAAAACATTCCTACACACAATCTTTTTTCTCATCTACGTAGCTCACTTGAAATTCGACAAAGACGGATCCTTAGAGATTCTGTCACCATTTCATCCCTAATACTTCTGATCGACTACTGTTTCAACATTTGACTGACAATCATTTTAACAACCGTACATGTGTTCTCTACGTTCAGTCTTGGATTAGTCTGGCGTAGGAAAATTTAGGAAATCGGAAGTAGGTATTTAGGGTGGCAGAGGGAGAGGGTGTGGGTGGCAGAGGGTGAGGGTAGCTGAAGGTGTGGGTGGCAGAGGGTCACCATATCGAGGTCAAGGTCAGTGATGCAGTGTTATCAAGTGTGTGTGTGTGTGTGTTGCTAAGAAGTACAGTGTGTTGAAGGTTCAATTACATCTCTTACAGTAAGATTAGTATTACTGACTAGCCTTACTTGTCCATGGGCCAACCCCCCCCCCCCCTTATAGTGGTGGGTGAGGGAATCAGGGTGTGGTCACGTGGGAGCGTAGAGTCGATCAGGTGACTGGTGTGGTGGCCCTTGTGGGGTCAGGGAGGACTGGTTTGGCGGTAGACTTTGGAGGGGTGAGAGGTAAGGGCGTCTGGATGAACATGTTGCAACTTGTCTGTTTAAAAAAAAAATAATAATAACAATTATATTTCATGCTTACAATTGAATCTCAGATGTACAAGACAATATATAAGCTACCATTGTAACTTATTTGTTATATTAAAATATCTCGTAGTTCCTGACGCTATAAGCAAGTGTGGTGAGTGTGTGGGATTGATTTTGGCAGTAAGCTGGCGAAATATTGCCTGTATGTGTGTGTACCGTTGCATCAACAATAAGACTCTACATATTCAAGACGTACAACTTCCTAGCTATATATTTAGCCGAGGCTACTCAGAAGGTCAGCTGTTACTTAACCTAACCCCCAGGCTTGGTGGTGTGACCTTACTTACGATGGCTTAGCTGGGGCTAACTTTACGTGCCCATAACTTTACATAGTCCAGCTTAGTTACTTTACATAGCCCAGTTTAGTTTTATATAGTTACGATGAACCTGACCAAGCCAAGCCGTAGTTAGTCGTGTCTATTCTAACCTAACCTCTCAAGCCGTAGTTAGTCGTGTCTATTCTAACCTAACCTCTCAAGCCGTAGTTAGTCGTGTCTATTCTAACCTAACCTCTCAAGCCGTAGTTAGTCGTGTCTAGTCTAACCTAACCTCTCTCATAACTTGTTTAACAGTTAAAGAAACATGAAGCTACTGCGAGGTGATTGGTACAGTGTCTGGGTGTACTGCATCGTGTTTGGACAAAAGAGAATCATATGTGACGTTTAAAGATGACTCACTACTTCTATCACACAACCTTATCTGTTGACCACTTAACTGTCTGCATAACCAATCGCTTTAAGATGATCAAATGCCTCCTCCTTATATTGCAGAAATGATGACTGACCTTAAGACACTTCCACACTTCCATATATATCATATAATTTATTACCAATGGGTTGGTAAAGTGCGTTTCGATATGAAGTTTAAGCAATTGCAGATGATCAGTGAGTCGGCGAGTCGGCTATTTGAATTGTACTAAATCTTCTAATGTGAATGTAAGGACCAGTGTCTATGAAGTTGCTGATGTGTATACAGTCTAGCCTTAATGAACGGCTTAGCGAGATAGGTAGAGCGAATGTGAAAAGGGAGGAAGAATGGAAGGGAAGAGAAGAGAAAGAAGAAGAGAGTAAGGTAAGGAGGTGGGCAGGCAGCAGTGTTGGGTAGAGTTGCTGGTGGACGACGTAAGTAGGCCAGACGGCCCCCCTCACACGGAAGGAAGGCCACACCACAGAGCTACAAGGACACGCGTGGTTCACATGTACGAATTGCATCACTTATGTTTGTACCATCCTCGTCTGGCCTCTTGTAGGAAACCCTAAACATTACCGTGAAGGCTTCTGCATTTTACTAAGTATATAACTACAGCGCCAGAAAAAACTCCCATTAAAAAAATCGATGAATGTAAGTTCGTGACTTGAATAGTTCCTGTGTAATTAATGCAATTGTATAGTCTAATGAGAATGTGGCGATTTAGGTTATGATTATGTTAGGTGTACCCAGAGACCCTTCCGCAGCCCGTGGGATGGTGGAGGTTGAGGGTTAGAGCGCCAGCCAGCTTCACTATGTTGTTGCCAAGAGTCGTCACCACAACCCACTCCCCAAGAAGACGCTACTTAAAGATAAGAAAGATCTCCCCAGATATCACCACGGAAAACTCCCTTGTAGATGAAGTGACATAATACAATTACGGTTTTTTGTTGACGTCTGAGAACGGAAGCAGGTCAAAAGCGACCACTGGCCTCTATTCCGTCCGTCAGTCCACTTTTACCTCACTTTTAAAATATTTGCGAGTGCACGTGCTAGCCAGGACTAACATTCATTTTTAATAATTTATTTTACTTTATACAATACAGAAAACCCGGTGTATATTGTGAATCATACCTGTTTGGCACTTAACGAGTCCCCCCCCCACCCCCAGCCTGTCTCACCAGAAGGCTAACCACCCTAATGTTAACCAAACCAATCCCTAAGGTACCTGGGGATCGTTAAGTTGGTTTAGATTAAATCCAGGGTAGTTAATCTTCAGGTGAAATAAGCTGAGGGGCGTAAGTTACAGAAGACAACATTTTCGATAAAATCACACTGGGACTCGCTCTTATGTTCACTTCTCATCACGATTCTGTGAGCATCCTTAATTAACTGCCATGTTACTTATACACAGTGAACGTATCGTTATAACCATTCATATTTCATGGACATTCTATGATAATATCTTCGCCTCTTTTTTTTTCGCATACCATTCATAGTTTAGTAGGTTGGCAAAGGTAGAACTTGGCCAGTATACTATATGATTCTGGACGTGTTGCCATGTTGAAAGTTGACACCGTTAGCTTAGTGTAGTGTAGTGCATTAACATCATACGCAAAATGAAGGATTTCTTGTAGAATGAACCAGTCTTGTTCATTCTAAAGTATATTGCACAAAAAATAATATACCGGTACCTTTTGTGCTGTAAATGGGGTAAAGAACAAGGCTTCCGATTTTGTAGAAAGATAATTAGGAAAATAAGCAAAATTAGCCGTTAATAGCACAATGCCCCAAAACACCAATATACGCTTAATGTTATGTTGCGATGTAACTAATTGTCTGCTTTATAATTATCGTGTGGAATGTTCGTCATTATAGCGTTGTGTTGCGTATTAAAACAAGACCAAAACAGCCTCGCAGTATTTCCTGAATGATGACCTTTAAACCTTCACCTGGTCTACATGTTACAGTAATTGTATTAATTATAAGTGAACGCCGACATTTTATGGATGTTTAGAATTATGTAATAAATATAAAAGGATAAAGGATTTCCCATTTACTTTTTTTAAGATGGTAAATTTGTGAATATATATACAATATATTGTAGTGTAGAGGAACGGTACAATGAAGCATATTTTTCTTCTTCATTGACACTAAGTGAATTATTAATATGTTAAATATACCAACACTAAATATAACTCCAGCCAAGGAAAACCCTGGTATTGTCTGTCACGTCGCTCAACAACAAATTATAACATTGAATTGCTATTAAATACTGTACACCAGTACCATTTTTATCCCGACCTTACATCTTTATACGCTGTGTAAGTCTTCACCATCACACACACCAGCGACTACCGGTAGATAACCCTTCGTGGTCTTGTTAAAATAAAGGATATATACATACATAACCCAGTGAGCCAGGCAGTGAGCCAGACGGAAAACGCAGTCAAACACGTGACTACATTTTTATCCTTGGATATGAGACACGTTTTAGGGCCGCCTCCTGGCTGTGGTAACGCCCCGACACGCTCCCCACATGTATCTGCAAGTTCGCCCTGTGATATGTATTTACTCCAACGAATTCATAAATTTAGGTGAAATGAGCTTTTCCACAGCTATAAAAAAAATTGTATCACTAAAGTAAGTTACTGTACTACAAGTTTCTTTTTATGAACACGTTATTGGTGTTAGTGGTGAGGTAGAGGAGTAGAGTACATAAGAGAGATGTAGGTAGGTATATAACCTGGTGGTGAGAGGCGGTGAGTGGTGCAGTGGGCGGGTCACGTGGCAGTTGTGGAGCTGAGCGTTAGGTGATGGCGAGGGAGGCACACACGTTCCTCTCCAACGCTGGTCGTTATGCACACACGTGTTTAAAGTATTGATATACCTTTGTGAGGTTTTTTTTTTATTTTGTTGATTTCCTTATGAGGTGATGGATGGAATGCTGAGGAAATACTTAGAAATCAACATTGTCTCATGGCAACTTAGTGTGGATTCATAAGGGGCCTAATCGACTTCAATATTCACAGCCTTTTTAACATTAAAGACTCAAAAAGCCTTAATAATAGAAAGCGAGGAAATATGACTGTTGATATGTTAACACACGGGAGCAAAGGTTGATATTACATCACGTGTTGGTTGGATAGATGGCGTGTATCAGCGTGCGTGAAGCGGATGGTCACTGTATACCCGCTGCGTTTCCTCGTAATATCCAAGATATCTTAACTTTATTGAGTTGGTGGCTTTCATTTTCACTTTCGAACTGTGTGCGTGGACGAGGGGAGAGGTTTTAGCTTTTAAGTGATATCTTAATGTGTCATTGTTAGACTTTGAGAAGAAACATGTCGCGTGTGTTAACGGAGAGGGTAATGTGACCACCACATCGGCCCTACAGCAAACGGTTGACGTGGCTGTATTGTCGTAATCTGGTCTACCCCCTGTGATAAACTCTGCATTAGTGAGCGAGTCAACGATCATGGTAATTCAAGAGTATTTAAAATTAGCTTTTATATAATAAATAAAGTTGGTGAATAATGACTGAAATGCGGCGTACCTTAAGTTGACGATGGAGATGTAGTTGTCCATGTATTAAAAGACACACACACACACACACACACACACTCAAGGCCACAACGACCCTTAGGGCTCTTCAGAATATATATAGAAAATGAACTTAAATATAAGTAACCTAAATATTTATCAATGATTTGTGAATAAACGTTTTGCTTTTATTTGTTATGTAAAAGATGTTTTCAATAATTATATAAGTAACATTTTAGCTGTTTGTGTTATTGTTGGTAAGTTTCACTTAAGTATAAACCATAGAGTGAAAAGGCAGAGCGCTACAAAAGGAAAATTTCATTCGGACACTGCACGTTGCACACACTGATAGAAAACGTAAGCCTCGGGGTAGTGTACAAGGTGCTATGGCTCCAGCTGACTCTAGGAACAAGGGTTATATTTCACGCTCTGGTTTTAGGCAGCGCAAGACACCTGATCTCGCGGAAGCCGTGGGCGAACCCAGACAACATTCCCCCATCCCCCCCCTTTACACGTGTACGGTTTTTTATTTACTGTATATATCAATAAATGTAAATGTTATTTATGTTATCGTGTGTTTTAACATATCTAATAAAGATTTGTTAAAGAAAAGGAGGAATTGTTAAGTACTTCGTTTCATAACTGGCTGCTGGTTGGAGGTTGGCGGGCCATCCACGTGACTGCCGTACACCATCACACACACACACACACGCCCGCCCGCCATTCATTCTTCCATCCCCTACCGGTGCCGCTTCAGTGTTAATGCCTAGTGTATGGGTTAGTTACCGATAAGCTGTATGATCGGTGGAATATTTAATACGATATAGCAGTGCCTAAGACAGTTTGGCATATCATGATCGCTAAATTAAATATGAAATATATAAAACTAATATGGAATCATCTTTAGAATCTCCAACCACAGCTTATTTAACCCGAAGATTAACCACCCTAACGCTATCCTGTCCTACCTTAAACTTTCCTATCCTACCTTAACCTCACCTCCAAATAGAGTTAGGGTGGTTAATCTGCAGGTTTAATAAATTGAGCTGGGTCATCCAGATTGAGGAATATTTTATCATAAAAAAGATTGCATATCATACTGTTTGCTCTTCTACTGCTGAACAAATAATGTATGTAGATATTAACTATAAATATTACACTATACAGTACATCAGACGAATACACACACACACACACACACACAGCACGTTTCAGAAATTCAAAAAGCTATTCTTTCCTTTTGTTTTCCGTGTAACACCTCATCAGGACTATATATCATAAAAATAGGGAGATATGGATTGGGTAAGGTGCGACACGTGACTCCGCCCCACTGTGCTGGTCACGTTGTCCGTCAAGTTGAGGGCTGCGGCTGAGCTGTTCCCTCCCTCGCTGAGTCAGACCATTCTTCTTGCTTACACATACTGTACACACACGTCCCGCGACCCCCAAAACCCACCACCCTTCCATGAACACAAGAGTCATGACATACTGAACATACACTCCATACATAAAGACATACTGTACATGCACTTCATTATCCTTACTAAGACATGCACTTCATTATCCATACTTAAGACATGCTCTTCATTATCCATACTTGAGACATGCACTTCATTATCCATACTTAGACATACATGCACTTCATTTTCCATACTTAGACATACATGCAGTTCATTATCCATGCAGAGACATTACATACACTCGCATGAATGCTGATCGTTATATAAAGACGAAAGCTAAGGTGCTCCGTTTTTTCCCTTTTCCCTAGAACAGATTAATGTATTGGTGGACTAATACTACAGCTGGTTGACCGCCCAGTGCAAGCCAAAACTTGTTGAGGTCGGCTCGTAAGAAACTCGTTAACCGAGGGGTTGCTCGTTAACTTAATTTAAGAATCTTTTGGGAGGTAACTCGTAAACCGAAATCTCGTTAACCGAGGCGCTCGTTAACCGAGGGACCACTGTATATATATATATAGTGATGGAACAAGGAAGAAAATTACTACTTTGATAATTATTATATAAAGCACAACACACAAAAGCCAATTAAGCCCAACTAAACTGTTTGATTATAGATTTGATTTCTCCTTCAATTAAGGTTAAAGGGACCAGGTAAATGAATTGCTTTTTAAATTTTGTAATTCAGCCACTGCCACTATGCCCAACCCCCAACACTCACTGTCTTCTGGTTAATAACACAAGACTTCCTATCAATTACTTCATGTCCCCAGGAATCACTGTTAGCTAATATATTTTATTTCTGCCCAACAGGACCCACTGTCTCACCGCATCATCGAGAAGCGCCGTCGGGATAGGATGAACAACTGCCTGGCAGACCTCAGTAGACTTATCCCCACCTACTATCTCAAGAAGGGCCGTGGCCGTATTGAGAAAACTGAGATCATTGAGATGGCCATTAAATATATGAAACATTTACAAGCACACGCATGTAGTCAAATTGGTGAGTTATTCTTACTATTTTATTGCAATTTACAGCATCTTAAAAAAACTAGTTTCTCAATCTGTTCTAAAACTTATAGAATTGCTCTTTGGATGCTCTTTTCAACTATGTGTCCCACTTAACCATACACAAAGTTGCTGCAATAGTAATTTTCTGGGAATTAAATACTGTACACTACTACGTACTACTATTAATAATAATAATAATAATCTTTAATTTTTTAGTACTGTATATGAACAAGACTACATTAATGCACAGTAAATGTCAATGGTCTACATAATGTATAAAACTGTTAAAATGCCAAGTTCAGAAATTCACATATGACACACTGTTGTTTTTTGAACATGTATGTGTAGACTTATACTGGATCAATGATGAAAGACCATGAACATGAAGCTCTAGAAAAGTTTGTCATTAGATTGTATTAAAAATGTATCGGATAAATCATTATTTTTAGGAATATCTAAGTTACTGATGCCTGTTAAGGTTATACTGTACAGCATATCTCTCTGAGTTACTGATCCCTCTGATTTATGATTCAATTGGTGTTATAAATCTATAATTTATTGAGTTAATTGATGTCCTTAACAGAAAACTGTGAGGTGACGGCAAAACAAGAACGAACAGGCAATCAGCTTGAGCAGTTCCATCTGGGTTACCAAGAGTGCATGTCTGAGACGATGCAATTCCTAGTGGAGTCAGAAGGCTTTTTCTCTGGGGACTCTCTGTGTGTGAGACTCATGAATCACCTCACCAAGCACTGTGAGAAAATCCTCACCAGTAAGTATAGTACTAACTCTGTTGATGTATTATATCAATGAGAATCCATAAGAAGCATTGATGAAATTTTTTATGAATACAGTCCAGTAATTGTCTGAAATGGGGTAAAACATCGGTTCATCTTACAATATTATCAAAGGTTTTCTATGTAATATGCAGTAGATCATCATAATCACTTTTAAAAATTAACCTCAATTCATAATTCTGACTTGTTTTTTGGATGTATAAATTTAATATTAGTTGTGATATTTTTATTATACACAATACTGTGTTGATTGGAACCAAATTGTTTTCCACAGGCGAGGGATATGTGACAAGACAGAGCGGCGCTAGTTCATCCACCTCTAGTGGGTACCATGCCAATAGTTCATCTGCAGGATCATCCAGCGATGGCAACGGTAATGGCTCGAGCCATGCGTCCGAGAGTAAGGACACTCTTGTCACAGGTAATGCGCAAGCCTCAAGGGAGTTGCCATTTGTTCCATGCTAGCAAATGCATTAATGCAACCAATTATATACTGGCTTGGTTTTGTTGGTCTATGTTCTTTGGCTCTGTTTTGACCGTGCTTCAGTTTGTCTGACTGAAGAACCCACACACTGGGTACTGAAGCCACTGAAATGAAGCTTTGATAAGCAAAGCTGAAAAATGTTACCCATTAAAACTAAGTCTGATCTCAACCTTCAATTCAACAGTTTGGAGGCCAAGGGATTAGAGTGTGTGGTGTGAACATTCTCACAATTACCTTAAAATCTACTTTATTAATGTAATAATTGTTTTAGTATACTTTTTTTTTTACATTATACAGAAATATGTGCAGTATACTGTATTATATCATTATTTCACTAAGATACAATTATTCTGTCATGGTAATTATAAAGTTTATTTTTTGTGGATTTTAAGGAAAAACTGTTGAGGTGTCTTGCCATGCTTCAGAATTCTATATAAAAAGAAATGGAAAAGTATTTCAAAATTGTTTGTCTTACTAATTCAAAGGCTGTAGCTTTAAAGGCTGAAGGTTACAAATTGCAATAAACTTGGGCTTTAGCATTCTTGAACTTGTTATAACAATATATGCCTATATGATGAGAGCAGTCCCACTTTGCTTTTATACTGTATAATACCTGTATGATTAATGATTTTCATCATAATTACATCCATTTTACCATTACTACTTACAAACTGTACTCTCTTGATGTGTTCCGACCATATGGAAACATGAGGCCTAGGCCTCGGAATTTTATTCGCTTCCAACTCTAAAATATTTAGATACACTGCACCATAAAAAATACAATCTTATATGTGAAAACTGGCCCAAAGTGTTCTGTCCTTCACAACTAGATTTATACTGCTTGATAATCCAAGTGATGCTCTTCATTTGCTATTTACCTTTCTTTACACAAAGCCCATGACCAACTGAGAGTCACAGTGATCACAGAATCCATAACAATATTATGTACCGGGTATACCTAAATTTTAAATTTTTCCCAACAAAAGTGACAAATTATCATAGTATGGAATTAGTAGAATGCAAGAACGATTACAAATGATAAGTTAATATATCTGGTAATAATAGGACACTTGTGTTATTACAAATAATTATAGGACAGTCAAATTGAGGAGTGAAAAATAGCCTTTATTTTTTTGATTGACTATAATATTTTGCTATATTACTTTGTATTGTTCTTATCAGTGTGTACATGAATTTTTGTTGTAGCACTTTATCACTGGCATTATGTACTCATAACATTGAAGAAAGAAAGTCTCTTCCATGGTGCTGTTAGATGAGGTAAGGTATTGACATGAAAGTTTTGAAGTATTGCATGTTATTTAAATGATGGTATGCTCTGGTTTGTAACTGCGTGAATAAGATACATGTGTGTGATAGTGAAAAGATCTCGGCAACATAGTGTATTAGTAATGAACTGTGTAAGACCCTTCTATTGACCGTAGCAACTGTAGTTCACTTCCCCGAATCTCTCATTGGTTTAGCGTTTGCCTCGATAAGTGTTGCCACATCATTTATGGAGTGGGACAAATGCTTACCAGTGAAATACAGTATCTCTCCCACAACACTTTTCTCTAATAATTTGATAACCTTTTCTTCACCACCATTGAGATGTTTTTGGCTACAGTTAATCCCATAAAGATTCACAGCATTTCAAGTACAGTACATTTCTCCCTCACACTTTCCCTTGTGTGGCTTTAAATGCTCTTGCCTTTTATGTTGGATCCGTAATGTATTAGTCTGTTTTTGTACAGTTATATCAACATGCTGTTTCTCTGTTTAGTTTCCTTTCAACGTCCTGCTCTTTTGTTTTCATTCTGTTGTCTCTTCAAGTTTAGTTCTCGTTGGCTGCTCATTCATATATCTGATCTGGTATGATATTGAGCATAACGTGATGTTACTGTTTGATGTTAACCATAAAGTTAACCCAATATTGCTGTATAATGTTATCACGACCTTAACATAACCTTCTTGTATGATGTAAAGACATATTGTTAACCTAATATATTACTATATGATATGAAGCATAACATTAACAGTTTTTTATGATAATAAAATAAGCACAACATTAACTACCATCATTGTTGTGAAGTTAACTAAAATATTAATCAGTATTTTGTTGCCTACTTCTCACGCCTCTTCTTTCCATAAATACACCATATCCATAAATACACATGGTGGTCAGACTCAATAGCCAACACTCACACACATTTTTATTTCATTCATTGACATAATTCGTTCGTTTTCACAACTGTAAGCAACGTGTTTGCATTATGGTACAGTACTGTACTCCATTTAAAACCAACGCACTGGATATGTCTGTAATTATCCCTATTATATCAACACAGTCTAGCAGAAGCATGTCTCCCTCCCTCCCACCCCCCCAAAAAATCACTAGACTTTTAAGTTTTTTTTTTACACAATCACAAGAAATGTTACCTTCACTCTAACTTGTTAACACAATCACATGAACTACAGGATATTTCCTTGACTCTAAATTGTCTACACATTCACAAGAACTATTTTCTTGACTCTTAAAGTACTCAACACATTCACAAGAACTACTTACTTCTAGATACTTTTCACCTACAGTTCTAATGCAAACCTCACCTTATTATATTACAACCATCTAAGCAGGTAACCCTTTTTTTAATATGGTTGATGTCAGGTAAATTCTCTTGTAACAGATCAGTATACAGCAGCTGGCTTTCTTTAAATGAATACTAAACAGTTTTCCTCTTGTTAATTTCTCTGCCAATTTTGTTGCTTTGTTATCATGATCTGACCTGAAAAAGAAAAAAAATCAATATAATTTTTCGATGGTGTGAGAAACATTAAGCTGTGTTGCATAATTGTACAAAAATCATTGATCATCTCCACTATACATGAATCATACAGCTTTTAAATCCATTGGTTAATGTATAGCTGAGCCAGTGAATAATATATGCTGAATAGAGTTAATAGAGCATGCCAAGGGGTTAAACTATACATAACGGATTATACACTGTAGTATATGTACTGTAAATATCTAAACCAGCCATTCCTAACTGAACTATTGTGTCCCCTGAGAAATATAAACACAATCTCAATATTGAGACACGAGCTGAGATAAGGATCATTTGAGATGGTAGAATGTACACATGTTTGTTAAGACTATGTTAGATATTTCTCAAGACTATTATTAAATCGATGGAATATTGAAGTCATTTATAATTTGGTGAGAGGCACAATATGAAGTTCATCTCCAGTCGTAAAGGTCGCTGGCTTGTGCTCACACCAATCACTGCCGAGTTTAAAAATTTCTAAACAAAATCATGATTACTCTAAATATGCCCTAGAGTACAGTATATAAACACTACTAAATCAGCTCTTGGGAAACAGAGGCAGTAGGAATTTGGGAAGGACAGTTAGTGATGCAGGGAGTAGGGAAGGGCAAAGAAGTGATACAGTACACAAGAAGCCTAAAATATACAAGCATATAAAATATAGTTAGATCTTTAAATTTGACAACACGCATAATGTTAAATTTCTCCCATACTGTATTATTCATATTGGCTGTACTATATATACTGTACTGTACATGGACAATTAATAGATAATCATAATGGAAACTGTAAATAAATAACATCATTACTAATGTAACTACAGTAATCTTATGTAACCTAACCATACCTAAGGTAGTTTAGGTATATAGTACTGTACAGTAGTTTGGTTATTTTGTGAAGGTAAACATCGTCATAAATGAAACAGAGCAAATATATGTTCCATTATATGGCTACAACACGAGACATTTTTGATAGCTGGTAATAATGAAACAGCTTGAAGGAAACACCGTCATAAAATGTGGATTTGCCCTGTACTGTAACCCTTTCCTTCCAACTCTGTCAATGTTTTTAATCTATTAATCACTTTAATGCTTAGTGGGACTGCCCCTTCATATTACAAAGGATATGTTTAAGTTAAATGCACGTTAGTTATGTAAGAATAATAGAATAGCTTTAAATTGTATACATATGAACCTTAAAAATTTTATATCATGATAGGAAATGATAAAATGAAAGCCATATAATTACTAATATTCATGATTAACATTGGGTCGTGGGTATTAATAATGAAAGGACAAGAGTATAGTAATGACATACATTGTTTGTGGCTTAGTAATATGTCAGTCATGTGGTGGCTTTGTACGTATTCTATCATCCAAAGTGGGAGCGGGTGTTGGTTGTCAACTCTCTCTTTGATTTACAAATTTTAGATATATTTTTAATGATCATTGAGGGGGTTTGTGTAAGTTTGTATGACAGTATCCGATGGCTGATATGGTCCGTTCTATGTGTTGGGATAGACTATAGGTTCCCCTAACTATTCATAAATATATCACTATGAGATTAGTATATATGGTGTTGTAATGAGCAGGAGGAATTTACCTGATTGTCTCTCTTGACAGCTATTATTTTTTTTTACAATCATGAGTTGATTTAGTTTAGGGTCTACCACACATTCTCTAAACTCTACAATATTGCAACTGTGTGTGTGCGATCTTGTGTCAGTTCACGCTGTTCTTATAAGTCCTTTGTCATCTCCTGTTCTCATGATGGTAACAAAATTTTTTCTTGTAATTGTATTTTTTTTTTTTAATGTAAGCAGAGGATGACTGCTTCACTAGTAAGATGCCCAAACCAACAAGCAGAATACTGTTACTAGTGCGCTATGTCAGATCTGGAGACTAGATGGTGTTTCGGGAAAAAAATCTACAGATCATATGAAAGGATGTTGTCTTTTCTGGAAAACTTATCCTTAATATCAGTCTGTCACAAGTCCTCAGTGTAATGAGATGCTTCATACTGATTAGTGCATGTTTATTCTAATGATTTGGTTATTTGTGTGAAATCCAAGTACAGTACTCTGTTATTAACGTATTTTTTTTTCCACAGAAGAATCGGCCTATCGGTCTGAAGATCATTCTGGTGCTGACGAGCGAGATGAAAAATTTGGGGGTTTATCCATGGATAATAATTCAGGAATGGGGAGTCAGCTTAGAGAAATTCTACAGCAGCACTCAGGACCAGGAAGCAGTAGTGACCGCAGATGTGGAGGATATTCGTCTGGCCTCAGCTCCAACAATTCCTCCAGCGGGGACGATAACAATAACAGTAGTCGATTATACAAGTTCAAATCTAACATGAAGCACAGATTCAGCGCTGATCTCGAACAGTCACACCAAGTGAGAAAGAAGCGAAGAGACTCCGAATCCTCTTGTGGAAACTATACTGACTGTGAGAAGGACAGAGTCACTCCCACAGGCCCCATGTCTCTCTCCCGACCAACCTCGTGCCAAGAAGGATTTCCCCATGATACGGGTAAATTACTGGATGGCCGAGACAGCCCATTACTTGAAAAGAATCAAAGGTGTCAAACTCCTACTCCTAAATGTGAAAACAAAGGTGGGAGAAGTTCTCCCTGTCGACAAAGTGGAGACGCTGGTTCAGGGCCAACGGTACCTATCTTTGCCCTAAATCAGAGTGGAAACTTCTATGTACCTTTAACCATTAACAGTAGTCTGATTGCACCTGCCATGTCAGGTTTATCAGATCTTTCACCTGTTTTGCATCCAATATCAATCAGTGTTAATTTCTGCGGGTCCACTCCGACAATAACGTCGAATGCGGTTACACCAAATCAGGCTCATGGTGCGGGAAATTTAGTCTCAAATTCCTATCTTGCGTTGGGGAGCAGACTTTCTCAAGCTTCTCAAAACTCTACAATGAATAGTTTTGAGTCTGGTACTTACAACGGCCGACCCTATACTCGTGTGGTTGGCGATCGGAAACGCCGCGAACCCTCACGGCAGGTTTCCCAGTTTGAGGACCAACGTACGGGTTTATCAAACACAAGTGATTCCATAGAGAAAAGAGAGCCGAGTGATCTTGAAATGAGAGAATTGCGTGATGTGAGAGAACATCACCATCGTCACTCAGATCATCAGCAAAGAGACTTACCCCGCGATCCTTCCTCCTGGATGGAACAAATGCTTGAAACAAAAGACTCAAAAGACCAGAAGACTCACGAAGTTAGAGATGTGCAAAATGTGCGTAACTTACGGGATATTCACGAAGTCCGAGAAATGTGGGATATTCGTGACCCGGCACAAACGGTGCGTGAGTTTATCGACAGAAGTTGTAATTACCCAAATAATACTGCCTATGCTAGAACTCATTCACACTGGGCTGCAGCGTATCATAATCAGTCTAAAAATTAAGGAAATAATAGCACTTACACCAGAAAAAACAAATTATTGAACTAAAGATTTAAGTACAATACTGGTGAAATCAGATAGTTCAACAACTATCTCATTAGAAAGTACAGTACAGTATAGTACTGTAGTTCATCTAATCACAAAACTAACTTCTAAATACATATGCGCTAGTGTATTAACACTTTCTGACAATATTATTCAGTAGTGACTGATTTCTGAAGAATCTTATTGTTAGAAATATAGCATACAGTACAGTATATATTACAGCTGCAAGGATGACTGTGTGATCACCCACGAGGTTACAGTACAATAAACATTGTACAGACTGACCTGTTTTATGGTGTTTTTGCTCAATAACCATTACTGTGGACAAATATGTAGGTTCTCTTTAACAATCATTATTTAGACAGTACCTGAATTAGTTAGTGTATACTGTATATGAACACTGATGCAAGGAAATGGTCTTGTGGTAAGGCGGTGATGGCGGGTCATATAAAACTGATTCATTTATCTGAATTATGATCTAATATTTAACATTTTCATTGTACTACTGTAATATATAAATTGATTGTTGAAGCTGGCCACTAGAAGATAATTGTTGTTAGCAGAGTATAACTATATTTATTATTATAGAAAAAATTAAGATATATTTTGGGCATTCATCTGAGATAATGTCTATTGTAGTATAAATTTATCTTGAACTTTTGGAAAAAATTTATATTAGTATTTATTTTAAGAAAGGTAAAAAATGAGTTATTGATTTTATCTTGTGTGATATTATTGTGATGAAAAAGTGTATAACTCTTTGTTTTTGTAAAATTTTAGGCAATGTTGAGTTCTTGAATGATAAATAACTGTGTAGAAAGAATTTACAGTACTTTCCTTCTATACAGTGCTCCCCCCAAGTACTGCACCTGGAGGGAGGGGGGCAGTAAAATTTAGTGAATGTAAAAAATTTCAAGTTCACTTTATTGGTTTTGAGATTATATATTGTTAAATAACTTGAAAGTATTTATTTGTTATGACTAGTAATAATTTTATTTTATAAATCCCACAAGTGTTAGCTCATTATTTGAGGAAACAAAAGAGTACCCTAAAAATGTTATAATAATGGACAGATGGGGAATTCCTTGAATATTTTAATATTGAAATGTTTTGATTAGATATTTATCACAATTCATCTTATTCTGGCCAAGAGTTTGTGTGACAAGAACTTGATAATCCTCCACTGCTGTCAACCCAAGACTGGTTATTTGTGTGATATGCATGTTAGTGTGATTCAATGGCTGCTACTGAAGCTATGCTTTTGATGTGTGAATGCGTGACATTGTGTATATTTAAAGATATACTGTATATTTAAATGTTTTTATTACTGGTATCCAGTTACCTATTAATGATGTTAATCACCTTCAAATTGGAGTAAGTATATTCTTGTTGGTGTGTTCTGTGCTGTGATGTTTTATGCTCGGGCCTTTACTGAGAAACAAAGGTAAATACAACTATTTTGGTAGAAAAATATATGAACCTGTGATGAAGCTGAACTTGAAAACATTGAGGATGCTAACAGTAGATTATGGTTTACTGTGTCTGTGAATGTAACGGAGGAAAGCCCGGACATTGTCATTCACTCAAGTCGTTACTTATAAATAATAATTGTTAGGTTCAGTAATATAATACATAAAATAAAAAAAAGAAAGATATTACAAATTCACTTAAATGGGCTATGCTACCTAGAGTTATGTTCCATTATGCAAGATTGTGTTCACTGTGTGATGGTAATTGACACATTATCCATACACTGTGCTTATTTAAACAGTATTTTGAGCTTTGATTTAGAGAGGCTGATGTATTTAAGGAGTAAAAGTACTTCTATGTGATTATTTTTCAAAGTAAATTCTGAAATGCCGAATCTACCTCAAAATATTGACAAAACGTATAAATAGCATCTTCTAAGTTAAAAGAAACTTTTGTTAGCAAGTAATCTCACAGTTAAGAACGTTTGTGACTTGTTACTCATAATGGGCATTCAATCTCATAAACATTTTATTCTTTCTCCCAATACTATTAAATTAAATTGACTATTAGACAAGAAAATTACGTTCAAAATTGTTTGTTAAAGTATTTTTATAATTTTCTATCGTGCTATGTTATGTGATTAAAAATAATTCTTATCTGATACTGTCCATTCTTTCACCCTGTTACTTTGTGTATGTAGTGTTGCTATGAAAGTCAGTATACTAGGAGACTAATTAATCTGGACCTTTCATGATGACTGCCACACTTGTTTATCCTCTCCTGTATTTAAATATTTTCATTGTCTTTACTGACATGTATAAAGAATATGTATTAAAGTTGTATGTATAAATTTTTTTGTAAATTGATATGTAAATATATAATTACAAGGTTTATTTAATTTCATTATTTGAATTTTATAAATGGGAACAATCTAACTATTGTCTTGCTGACTCAGTATGAATCTGCAGGTTCTTCAACACATTCTTAAAGACTATTGCTGCAGTATGGAAAGTCAGTGTAGAGCAAGTCAGATGGGGCCTGACCTGACCATTAAGGTTGGCCGCCGGGGCCTCTCAGGACTCGGGGCCCAGACTTAATGGTTAGATTAGGGGTCCAGTAGGTCTGGGGTGTATCAGGAACATGGCCCATTTGACTCAACACTGTAGTAACATAAATACAACATGCTCAGCAGTATTTCTTGACTCTTCAGCTACACTATTTTTTATTCTCAAGGTTTCAAAAACTAGCATTGAAGGTACAATTAAAAACAATTCTTTAGACGAGAAATGTATTAACGTTTGTGTTAGGTAATGAATTTGTTTCCAAAGCAGCAGCTAATTCATTCCTTACAGTTATAGTTTACACATGTATTGTTGTTCCTGTGTGTATCAACAATTATCATCATGTACATAACATTAATACTGAAAAATGTCTAGCACTGAATTAAATCCTTATATGAACTGAATAATGTTTCCTTATATCCAATACATCTGGACTTTTTGCTCGTGGTTTTTTATGCTCTACTGTTAACACAAAGAGCTAATGAACCAACTGATGACATTTTACCCCCCACAAGGCCTGACCAAATTAATATTATCTTGTTTTCCAGGTTAATATTTTGTTAAGAATCTCACCATTGGTACCACCTTCACACAATAATGGTCCAGGAATAAAAAGTAATACTGTTGCTACACCATAGAGCTTGGGACCAAAGGGGAATCAGATTACAGTACAGGTACTAAAATTTTCAGATGGTTGAGAGAATAATGTACTACTCATTCCAGGATAAAAAAAAATTACCGGAGTATATAAACTGTATAATTACTGAAAGAAAACATAACAATATATCCATTAAAGTACTGTACAGGGGTATAAAAATATTTACAATACCTAAAAGTTTCAGGAAGTTAAGGTAGATATTTTATCTATGCAGTACATTCAAACTATATTTTCTAGTGTATAAGTTACACAGTTTTACCGCAAAGGCATCAGGTGGTGAAACAATCTGTGTACTTACTTTCATGATCCATTTTTTAGCAGAGGGGCCCAAGAAGAGCTGCAGCAATTACAGTACTTAAGAATAGTCAAAATCCTTGGAGATCTGGATGTCGATATAGTCGCAATCTTTGCCTTCCTCGCACCAGGGAGCTGAACAATGACAACAACAATTAAAATCTAGTAGCACAGTAAAAGTAAAAAATTGCTAAAAAGAAAATACTATACAGAGGGTCCTCGGGTTACAAACGGGTTCTGTTCCTGAGGGCATTCGTAAGTCGGATTTGTATGTAAGTCAGAACACATGCTATATGCATACCGTACTTACAAAACAATGTCCAAAGTCCTTATATACATCTTGAATCACTTAATTTAAGACAAAAGAAGATATAGAAAGACAAAATACAGTAAATGAAAGTAAAAAAATAAGTTACCAGGTAAATAAAATACTGTAAATTTCAAATTTAACCCTGTTCGTATGGCAGGCGTTCCTAGATAGGGAAAGGTCCAAGAAGGAGATGAAAGAATAGGGTGAATCCCCATAATATGATTTTCACAATTAAATATTTTGAGCTAATTCGATATTTTCATTTCCTTCAAAACTTCACAATTCTATCTATACTGTACATCATCGACCATCGACAGATATGGGTCAATTGATCACAAGAGAGGGAGTTGTGCTTTTGAACGGACAGCTGACATGTGTGAAGATGACTCCAGGTACCATAAGAAGAGTGACTGATTCACTAATCCCAATAGATAATATTAACTCTCATCTCCCAGACAAAGGAAGGGAGGGAGCAGTGGAGACACAACACAATAATAATAATAATAATTACAATAATAATAATAATAATAACAGGTAACAGAACAAGCAGTACAACTCACCAAGCAAACAGGAGCCCTTACACTCCTGAAATTTATGAGGAGGTTGTCCCTTACACTGCTGGTCACTCACAATAAGGTGAGGATGGGTCTTGTTATCACTACTGAGGTTGATAAGGTTCTCGTTCTCATCCAGGTCTATTTCAATGACACAATCCACATGTCTGAATTGAACACCGGCACCACACGACTCGCTGCATATTCCCCAGCCACCAATATTCCAACTGACAACACAATGGTATACAAACCTTTAGAAAAATGTATAGTAATTTATTAAAAAAAAAAAACACTTAAAGAATAAGAACTTGAGCATATCTCTACTGCAAAGACTTTCAACTGAACACTTATCCCTATAACCAAATACTGGCAGCACATCGCAAACTTACCCTAGTTTACTTTAAGGCAAATACATACATACAAGTGTGGTAATGAATGTAACTAAGCATTTTACAACAAAAACATTTATAAAAAATAATACATTTCCAAGTTATTACAAACAGGTTGGGTGGTAATATATACGTGAATGACTGAATATTACAAACACATTTTATCACCTGGGTTGTTTACAGGCTGGCATTTGGCAGGGCTCAGATGGATTATCAGTGAAGATGTACCCTTGGCAGGAGTCATCATCTAATATCTTGTCTGTCATCACATCAATACACTCCATCTGCACCAGACGCATCCCAGAGCCACACGTCACACTACATTCTCCTATTTTTGTCCGAGGCATAGCCTGCATCATGCCCATCATCGGATGTGTGTCAGTAACAGGGAGTGAAAACATCAAATCAGTAAAAGAAAAAGAAAATGAGTAGGTCAAAATAATGTTATAGGCATTCAGACTTATACATACACCTATATGTACAGACATACTCTGTGTAACTAACCTTGGGGGCATTGAGAGGGAGAAAAACATCTGTTTGTCCCACATATTCCTGGAGTGGTTGGTCAAGCAGGGCACTGATCTCAGCTCTTGGTGAAGCATCTTGGTACCTGTCATCAGCTGAAGGCCCAAGGTAGCTGTTGTTCTCATCCCTTGTTTTTGATATGACACTTGGATGCCAAGAGGACATGCTGCTCCTTAAGAGTGGCATCACCAGTGACTCACGAAGTAGACTACGTCTGGAAATCTTAGCATCAAAATCTAGTTGGTAGTCATCCTGCAGTAACTCTGTTGTGTCTTTGTTTTTAGTGATTTTCTTTAAGACATATATGTTTCCTAGCCAATTAATTGTGGGATGGCCTTCACTACTTTCATCTCCCTGATCAGAGGTGTAAGTAAAGGCACTATCATCGATTTGGATGACAATGGCAATGGGTGGACATTCATCTTCTGGGGTGGTAGCCAGTAGTGCTGTTGTGTCACAAACAGGTATCCAGGGAAGCCAGGATGATGGGAACAAACTGCAGAGTATGTTTGAGTCCAGCAAGATACTAATGAGACCCTTGAGTATATCAAGCAACCCAGTGTCAATAATTTGCTCTTTTGGCTGGCATACTGCACATGGAGGTTTAAGTGGGAAGGGTGTTTTTACAGGCACTTTGGTGATATTGTATTCCAAAAAATTCATAAAAAGAACATATTTTGGGCATTGGTCACGAGAGGAGCAATTAAATAGCATGTGTAACGAAGGAGCCAAGAAGTGACAAACACCTTGTGGTAAATCTTGCAGTGTCTTGGGCACTTTTGCTTTCAGATCACATTTGACAAAACCAGACTCATATTCTTCCTCCGCTTGTCTAGGAAACAGTTTATCAAGAATTTGTCCATCTTCAAGTTTATTATCCTCTATTTTTCTTAAAAGAGTGTATTGCTTGCCCTTCCACAGAGCAGTTTTGTTTGCATGTTTTCCTCCTACCTCATGAATGTAAGTGAGATTATAATCAGGCATCATAAGAATAATCCTCTGAGGTGCACATTCTGTCTCAGGTTCCCTCACTAAGTCTACTGGAGCAATGTTTAGGCAGTGGAAGACTGGATGAAGGAAATGTGGTATGGCTTGACACAAACTTTCATTTTTTACAGTACTATTCAGATTCTTGAGAACAGAGTCTGAGAGCACACTGACTCCTTGGTCTGAAGTGATGGTATAGCTCTCAAAGAAGCAAGATTCAGTGGCCTCCTCTAGCTCTATCAACCCAGTGGCTACTTTGGTTAAACTCCCTGATGAAAGATCAATGTGAAGATCATATTCTGAACATCCTTGAACACAATTGAAAAGTGGATGATAAACTGGTGCAAGGAATGGACAGATTGCTTTAGGAATATTTTGGAGTGTGTGAAGGATGTTGGTGGTGAGGTTACATGAGCAGTCCCCTATAATTTCTGCTACAGACGGTCTTTCCACTGAAGCTGTGACTCTTGGAATGGTTGTAGTCAAGGGATATGATTCATCTGTGGTTGATGAAGATGGTGTAGTGGAGGCTGTAGTGATGCCTGAATAAGGAACAGGTGTACCTGTAGTGATGCTTGATGGAGTTGTATCTGTAGTGATGCCTGATGGAGAAGGTGTACCTGCAGTGATGCCTGATAGAGGAAGTGTACCTGTAGTGATGCCTGAGGGAAGAGGACGTGTACCTGGAAAAATAATAGAAAACTTTTGTGTTAAAGCTTACCTAAAAAAAAATAGAAATTGACTTTTTTTCAAGTATTGTAAAGACTAGTGTGACAGCTCTTGCAGTACTAACTTTTACTGAGAGCTTCCATGTTATCAAGACAACCTCCCAGAATACAAACCAGGGTTAATATGTCAACCTCTTTTGACTAAAACAGTTACCCTTCTCTCCCTATCTCACCCAATAACCTAACATATAGATATAACACAATGTAACAATTATCCTCCAGAGACATGAGTTCTGTTAAGAGCTGTGTCTAACCAATCAGGTTATTTACAACTTATCTGTAATGATGCTGCAACGTCACAACATAAAAAAAAATTGTACTTGTTCCCCTACATCATGAAGCCAACAAGAAATATGAGCAAGAGCAAAACGATACAGCTGCCAGTTCACTTACCTCCACCGTGGGATGCGTTGGGTACAGTGTAGACGATAAGTCCAGCCAGCTCCTCCTCTGGTCGACAGTTGCCAGCAATACATACCCGGTGTGAGCCACAAAAGGAACCCTCTAGTGCGGGATGACCTGGTTTAGTGACCACACCATTGGTACAGTACATATATTCACACAAATCCTGAGAATAAAAAAAAAAAAGAGGTTAGACATGATAAACTGACAAGTAGTTTACAAGATGATATAAAGGTACATTGTACATGACTAAAAATAATCATTCTGGCATCCTTATCTTTTATGCAATTCAGTATCTTCCTCAACCATTTACGTTTAAACTCTCTATACAACTTTATCTTCCATCCACCATTAAACCCTCATTGCTTTTCAGTAACAAATACAATTCTTTATATCTTCATCGGGTTAGTTAATAGTGAGTAATTTTGCATTATTATTTTTTAATTTCATTATTTTGATGAACATGTAATCCTTGCATCTAGTTTTGTTTCTTTAATGATTCTATTTTGGTTAATTGGTTAATTACTCTTGCACAGTCACCCACCGAAGTCCTGTTGTGTCTCCCCCTGAACCACAAACCCCAAGATTCAAACTCGTGAACCCAAAGCAGTAGACTGATATCAATTCAATATTCTGTCCACAAATGCTTTGGATTCATGAGTCTGAATCGCAGGGTTCATGGTTCAGGAGAGGCAGAGGGACTTGAGTAGTTGGCTGTACCTAATGAACCACTGTCACTACTGAGAGCCTGTGTCTCTATAAATCCCATTCACATCCAGCATTCTTAACCCCTTCACTATGGGGACACCACTTTTAATATTTTATTTTCCTAATGCCACACAATTATATTTAGCAGAAAGGGGACCCCATACACAACCGATTAACTAATTATTTCAGCAATCTGTAATAGGAGACAATACACTCACAAACTTAGTAAGTGCTGGGTAGTAGTCTCTGCCAAACATAGCCTTGCACTGTTCAGACAGCGGGAACTGGTAACCAGGAGTTTGTTTGAGGATGGTCTCCAGATCAACTGTCTCTGGAACAATCAATAAGTTTCTTGTGGATTTTTGATACATGTGAATATTACCTCCAAGTACAACTACTATATATGAGGCGCTCAGCATTAGAAGAGGATGAAGTGCCTAGCGAACTGTGAAAACTGGAAGTTAGTAATGTGAATAGTTACTAATTTATCGCGAGTTGAATGAGAATAACTACCCGTCATGTATGGCTGTTTGATCTTCAAACCAACAATAATAGTGTTTTTCTGAAAAATTTTCTTATTATTGTGGGCTAATACTGTAAAACAAACTAATGATCACCAAAAATAACACTCGTCCTACAACCCCCCCCCCATAAACTCCACCCAAAAATGAAATAATAAAAACTCACCCAAATTACGTTTACGCTTGGCAACCTCCAGTGCCCACTCGTCAACCCTAAGCTGTCTCATCCTGCCTCATTTTTCTTTAGGGCCTTGGTGGTATGCTCCTGACCCCTGCAATCTGCATCAAGTGGTGCTCCAAGGCCACCACTACCACCAACACTAGGCTCCCCAACATCACCAAGTAGCTCATCACCAGCATTCTCATGCACAACACCTGCACCATCGCCAGTAGCACTTGCATCACCATAATCACCACTAAATCACTATTAAAAAAGCATGGATGGGATGTCCACGTGAGCACTGTCGTCACTAAACACATGCCACACGCTCAGGAATTAGGGCTCCTGAACCCACACCAGAAGGGCTGGCCTCATTCGAATCTTGCTCTAAAATTGGGCCGACATTGCACAGCACTTCTCACACCCATGGAACACGAATAACGTCAATGTTACGCCGAAAAGTTATCAAAAATAGCAGTAGAAAATACACTGAACCGCCTTATGCTATACAACGCGCCAAAACTAACAAGGAGGCAGCATCTAGGCGCGTGGATCGGCTGAGGAGCTGTGACGTAGCAAGGGAAATCCATTGTTATGGCTGACTCACTTACTGAGCGCACAGCCAGATATGTAGCTCCCGGCCTGAGGCGAAATGACACCCTATTGTTGAAGGAATTTCAACCGTATTTCTATTCAAGCTAGTGGGTTACATCCAATGCCAACATGTAGAGGAATGGTGAAAATAGTGATACCCATCAAAACACTCATTTTGCCCGGGGTGGCGCTTCACCCCCTTCCAATGATGAGCGCCTCATATATTGTGCTGTATGTTGCAGGTGATGTGTGTATAATCCTTCATTTGTAAAATACATAGTCAGTCATTACGGTATATGAAAATCCTAGTCATTAAATAAAATGCCTGAGAAAGAGAGTTAAAAGACTACCTGTGACCGATATACAATTTATGTCATTTCACTCATAATATGGTTACTGTACTGACAACAACTATACCTTTTATAAATTTACAATACAGTAACTGTTTCTCTTATTATTTCAGCTGATTTCATTCACATTTAGTACATTGAAATATTACTATTATTATATTTCAAGTTTTTTCTTGCTGTGGTATATAGAGTACATGGAGTCCGGAAACATTAGCGAACACGGACTCCTCCTTCACTCTTTCTCACGACTGTATCAGATGTCATACAAAGGCCACATACAGGCAATTGTTAGCAGTACCTTCACAATGATGTGACTCACCATTATTGTTGCCCTCAGAGAGAGAGATCACTGCCTTTACAGAAATGGCGGTGGCAAATGTAGTCCTGAAGTTGTCACCATCATCCAAACATGTTGATCGCCTGAAACACATCATCATATTATGGGATATTTTATAATATTCTGAATATAATCCCTATACTGTACTCATTATAGAGATTACTTTTGAAAATACCACCAAGACCAATCCACAAATCACCAACTCCACAAATGGCCTATTTTTTCATATGACTTTGCCCAAGCGGCTAATGAGTCGATCAGTGGCAAAGAGGAAAAAGTAGTACCTGTAGTCTATCTCCACTTACCCTTCACTTTGGCCAATGCCAGATGATTTTATTCAGCTGAGAGGTGACCCCGTACACATGGGGTTAATGGGGAGTGTGAAACAAGACTAAAGAGAACTTACCTGAGGAAGGAGTGAACAACACTGATGGAACAGGAGGACCACTTGGTCTTGCCGGGGCCAACGGAGGGTGACATGACATATTTGCTACTGCTGCATCGCTGTGCTTCTCCATGTCCATCGTGGTTCATCCCCAGGCTGTAGGACACACACATATATTAATGAATGTATAAAGGGAATGAAGGATGTTTGGGGCAGGGTAGTTAGGACCTGACCTGACCTGACCTAACCATGGCCCAAACATCCGCTCACCATATGAAGATGACTATAACCTACAGATAATGTATGGGTTAACCTATAGTGAAAGGAGAAGGATAAGACTCTTTCTTACCTTCTGAAGTCATAGTGATAATCATTTTCCTTACATTGAGTCAGTGATAGTGTGAAATTTTATACATAACAGAAAAAAGTGATGGAAAACTGTGTGAGAAGATCGAGTGATGGTACAACAATTACTTACCAACAGTTTATCATCAGTCGCAGTTACCTACCACCAGTCTATCACAAGTCACTTACTTGTGTCCCATCTCGTGAGCAACCACATAGACGGCAGAGAAGGAGCGACCTTCATTCATGGTGCAGGAAACAGAAGGGCGGCACATTCCTCCCACCCAGGCCAGCCCAATCACTGAGGGGTTCCCGGATGAGTGGAGGTCCAACCTTACACAGCCAACAGAGAAATTGTCAGAGAAGCAACAAGAATAGCATAAATCATCTGTACAGTACTATACATAAGAGTTATAATGAATGCTTCCTTGGATGTGTATGATGTCATTAGGTGTATTACCTGTATGTCTTTTTAGTGAAGGATTATACAAGTTCAATCAAAGCAAAGAACATCTACCAATTAAGTACAAAGCTCAACCTAAGTCTAAAACATCCACCAAAGCATAAAACATAAACCTTAACCAAGCATACTGTAAAACATAAATTACTTGGCTGTCTCACCCTGACAACATGATGGCATGATCCCAGTGCTGGGGGTCACTGTCCATTGCTGGGTTCTGTACTTTCTGCCACTCACAGAAAGATGTCAAGTATGCCCCAATGTCTCCACCACCGTTGTTTGGGCCTTTGTTGGAGGTGTGGATGTCCAAACGTACTATACTGATGTCCAGAATAAAGCCTTGCAATTCTTCTTGATGGTAGATGCCTTGTACCTGGAGTGAGGGAGGTGAAACAACTGTGGTTATTTTCTCTACATGGTTCTGGATAAAGAAGTACAGTACAGTAGAGGAAACCCTCTCAATAACAGATTTCTCAATAAAGGAATGGATACAGCAAACCCTCTCAATAATGGAATGGATACAGCAAACCCTCTCAATAAAGGAATGGATACAGCAAACCCTCTCAATAAAGGAATGGATACAGCAAACCCTCTCAATAAAGGAATGGATACAGCAAACCCTCTCAATAAAGGAATGAATACAGTAAACCCCTCTCAATAATGGACTTCTCAATTCCACATTCTACAAGATAAATAAATTTTTATCCTTGTAATTATATTCTACAAAACAATTAATGTTTAATTCCATTATACAAACATAATACATACTGTTAAATTCTACCCTACAAAATAGATTCTTTAATAGTATTCCAGTCTACCAAATAAAGAGATTGTTTAAATCAATTCTACAAAATAAATATATTGTTTAATTCTATTCTACAAAATTAGATTGTTATTTTTCTACATTCTGTTGTATTTCATCAGTGATACTCACAGCATTGATAAGTGTAAGGATATAGTTGACCAGTTTGTATTTATCTGAGTTGTCTACCCTCAGGGGGAAGTTCTTGTAGAGTATTTCATCAACAAACACAGCCAGCTCTAGTGTCTTCCTTATGACCACGGAAGTAACTGGCTTGGCCTGGATGGTGTGGTTGTGGGTGTCTGCCTCCCCGTGGTCGACTATGTCCGAGGAGGCTGGAGGCTGCTCCTCCTCCTTCACCATGATGGGATAAAGACGTAATTTAGTAGAGTGAAACCTCCATATAACGGACTGCTCTCTCCATACAATCTGCGAGAGAGTTGGGTGAGGGGAGGGGTTTCCACATCTAATGGACCCTCAATATACTGTACTTCCAGAATAACACAAAAATCCCACTTCAGAGAACCATAGTTGGTGAGTAATTAGCATTGACAGAATGTCATTAAAATATTCCAAGTTTAATTACGACCACTAATTACCCCGCAATCGAATCGGGGACCACAGATTCGGAATCAGCATGCTCAAGAGTACCTACACGCCATTCACTAAACACCATCACATATACAGGATTTGGATTCCTTTACTCATCCTGCAGACTTTTGACACCTCTTCTACTCACATAACTTCCAGGATTTCCACACACATTCATCTTCCTTACAAACCATAAATTTTTTTCTAATGCTAAGTACACACAGCCTTGTTCACAGGCAGTCATCTGACCCTACACAAAAGACTTACCTTGAAATTATATGAATGAAAGATATGTATTCATTTCTATGCAATCTTTTAAATTGACTTTGAATATTTAAAACATCAATTACTCTGGCCCACAAGTTTTAAATCACCAATATAGTCTCTCCTCGACTTACGACGGGGTTCCGTCCCAACGGCCAGGTCGTAAGTCGAAAATGCAAAAATAATACATAGAAATTCTAAAATGGGTGTCCCTTTTTCTTCTCAGCACCACGAGAACTCTCACTTTTACGCTTGCCAGCCATTTTAAAGGGAATTACAAAAAAAAAAAATTGTCAGTACACACCTCGATCACTAATGTCGGGACTCGAAAATACGCAATGTGAAAAATATTTTATACAACCATGGTCGTCGTATGTCCGGGTTGTCGTAAGTCGAATACTGTATGTCGTAAGTCGAGGAGACTCTGTATGTATTTTAGTAATATAGACAACCTGTACCATTTAAACATTTTAGTTGACCTTTTCCAGAGAAGAGATGCCTGACTTATTACTATATCTTGCATTTCAGCATATAAGGTCAGAACTCAGATGTACTATCGTGCACAAAAGTCGTGTCCACTACCCAGCCAGTGAGGTTTCGAATAGCCTTGAGTCTGAAGTTTCTAAACAGCTGGGGGAAATGCTATGGTCGGCCAACAGATGTCGCCCACTGTAGTGTGTGTGTGGGGGGGATAGAGGAGGTGGGGGTTAGTCTAGTAACAGGCTGTGTGTAGGTGGAGCATAACATCGTGAATTCCGCAAACACTGACAACAATAAGAATGTCATGAAGATAGTTAATATTATTAAGCACGGTGAGACATGTGTAACGGGTAAATAAAAGCACTACAACGACCATATCTCTGCCGTTCATAGCTATGACGGTGAAACTGATGGGCACGCAAGTAATTAATTCTCCGTGACTACCATTACTGGTAGTCACGGAGAATACACAAGTTGTTACCAAGGTTGGCGCCACCCACACCAGGGGAAGGAAGTGATATCGAACACTGATACATGCCGAGGTCTCATTCCTACCATCGTCGTCACCAACAGGTAAGTCACATTAATTTCTCACCATAGCCCATGTCGTCCTTATACTATTGCAGGGTGTCCCATGAGTGACAGCAGATATTTGTAGAGGTGAAAGAATATGTGATATTGAGTTGAAAATCTAATATACACATAAGCATTTTTCGGTTTACTTTAGGCGTGAGGTGGGTTGTAAAAATTACACAGGGCAAAAATTTTGCCATGTTATATTTTATTTTTCTTACCAATTGCAGCCATACTGTGTGCTGTTGTAGTACTTAGTGGTGAATTACATAAGGCCTATTAATAGCGTGAAAACCCGTCTGAAGATACTGTAATGTTCCATAACTTGCATTAAACAACATCATACGTTCACGAGTTCCAACTCCTCGCCTAGCCTCCCCCCACCGCCTCTACCCACCCAACTATTAAACCTCATAATTTGAGCATCGTGGGTTACCACACCTAAACACACTCCCCCTCCACCATCCCCCCACTCCTCCCTCTCCCACCTCGAACATTCTGTCCCATCACATTACCTTCCCCTGCATTCCCCAACCCCCCTCCCCCTATTCTACCCATGGCGATGAGTGGGACTACTGTAATGAACACTTACAGAACCGACGACATGGCTCCTCCCCCTTGTATTTAGAGTTACCGGCAGTGTTGTGATAGCACTGGCATAAGTTTAGATACATTTTGGAACCAGTGAATATTCTTTGTAAAAAAATAAATTTTAAATGAATTATTTATAGGAGATAAGTATGTCAGCTGAAAATTGTCAAAGAAATATGTAAAGCAGTGGAAAACCATATATTTTGATTATCGGCGAGGCTAACTACCTATAAACAATTAATATTTGACGATTGGCAAAAGTCCTGGGAAAATGAACCAACAAGTCATAAGCTAAAAATGATCAAATTATCAGTTTATCCTTGGTCATCATCAAAACAATCCTCTCGACATCACGAAACTATTCTGAATCGTCTAAGAATTGGGCATACGCGATTGACGCATGGCCAACTCATGTCTTCCCCTAATGGAGCCCCACCTATATGCTCCAACTGCCGAACACAAATAACAGTCCAACATATTCTCATTGAATGCCCTATTTATAATCGGTATCGAACAATGTGCTTCACTAACCCTACAATGTAAGATATTTTAGCAGAGACCCCAAAATTTTCCCTAAGTTCAGTTTTGACCTTTTTGAAATACTGTAATCTCCTCCAAACAATATAACACTAAATTATAGAAACACAAATATATGTTAACTAATCCCTCTGGCCAGCCCTAGGAGAGACTCAAATGGGTGTCAGTGGTCTGGTTAAACTAAATCTTGATGATGATGATGATTATCAGCGAATGTTCACTCTACAGTCGCAGGGGTGGTGGTGGAGGTTTGGGGGGGGGGGAGGATCCACTTGCAGTTCACTATGAATACATGAAATAGGAAGGGTTTCTTGGGCAGTTGATCCTAAAAGATTTACCAAAACGTTATGTCAGAGTAATAATACTTAACCTAGGTGTTACTAATACCATTAATTTACTCTAGTATATAAAAGCCTGCATCAGTTACCACAACATAATATTACTCTGCCATTTCAGATATGCCTGCAGGACGAGCAAATTCGTCGGCAGTGATTGCTGAGCGAGGCCAAATCATCGGGATGTGGAGAGCCGGGGCAACTGTGCCGAACATTGCTCTCGAAGTGGGGAGGAGCACCAAGACGATTAGGAGGTGGATCCGCCGGTGGGAGGAAGAGGGCTCAGTGGAGACGAAACCTCGAAGCGGGAGGCCACGAGTAACGTCGGCAAGGATGGACGCCATGATCGTGGCAGCTGCAACGGCATATCCAATGCGAACACCAGTGCAGCATACAAGAAATCTGGGCCTCAATTGCCATCACATGACGACGAGACGCGAAGCCGGGATCGACTGCCATATTCCAGCTCACAAAGGGTGGCTAACACCTACTCACAAGGAGTGTCGACTCGGCTTTGCATTGGAACACCTTCCACATAGAGAAGAATACTGGATAACCATTATATTTACCGATGAAACGGTGTTCAGGTCAGTGGGAGCCGAAGCAAGGCAGTGCTGGCGGCCCCCCAGAGAAACACATTCAACATCGCACAGTGAGTGGTAGGGTGTCAGTGTCATTCTGGGGGTGGATGTGGGCACATGGGCCAGGTGAACTGGTCAAGATCAATGGCCTTTTCACTGGTGAGCAGTATGTAGACATCCTGGAGCAAGTGCTAATTCCTACAGTCCGGGCTATGGCAGTTCCAGCCCCCAACACTATCAGGCTGGTTCATGACAACAGTCCCATTCATACCAGCAACATAGTGAAGGACTACCTCCAGGATCAGCCTGAAATTGAGGTCATCGACTCGCCAACACTAGGATGTGATATTAATCCGATTGAACACATTTGGGCCATGATGAAACGTGATTGGGATATTGGGGAGCAGCGAACCTGTGCAGCAATAGAGGCCAAAGCTTACGACATGTGGGACAGTATACGTCGACGACCAGGGGTGTGCCTGAAGCTGGTCGATTCCATCCCTAATCGCCTTGATGAAGTCCTGAAGGCAATGGGTGGCTGGACCAAATACTAAGATGTGTGTATTGGTGTATTGTTTGGAATTTAGTATTGTTTGTAAATACAATTAATATATATTAACTCACCTACAGTGTTATCTTAAATCCATGTCCTTAATGATGTCTTAAACTATATCGCATGAAAATTCATAACAAAGTAACTTAACAGCCACAAATTATGTATTGTGTGGTATACAATGATCTGTATGACACGTCGTGGAATGTGTTGTCTTATAACACAATATAATTATATAGTTACAATTGCTTCCAACATTGAAATGCTCATGATGTTCAGCACACAATATTAACGGTAACTGAGCACACTCCAAAATATATTAAGCTTGCTTATTGTGGTGGGGTGTTTAAACACTGGAACTTGGAAGAATTGTTACTAGATTAAGTCTGAATACTATTTTACAATACTGATAACTTTTTCACTCCACTCTTTTTAACATAAGTATATAATTATATAATATTCCATATTATCACAAATATTTATTAAGCAAAGGATGGGTGGAATATAAATAAATATTACCATAATCTCTTTGTCGGAATAACAACAAAATTGTGACGTGGTCGCTGAGTAAAACTAGCTGATCCTTGCATATTTCACTTTTATCCTTAATATATTCCATTCTTTAAAGTATCATTGTGACCTGAGCAGCAATAAGCACCCAGGGTACTGCACCTGTTCCATGAATTCGTAACCATAAAGAAACAACTGTAAGACAAAACGTAGTTAAAAAGGCAGCTTGAAATTATGGTGGTATAAATAAACCTGCCTCTCATCCAGCCCCCACCTCCTCTATTCTCCCCCCCCCTCACACACACACTACAGTGGGCGACATCTGTTGGCCGACCATAGCATTTCCCCCAGCTTTTTCGAAACTTCAGACTCAAGACTATTCGAAACCTCACTGGCTGGGTAGTGGACACGACTTTTGTGCACGATAGGACAATGAAAGACAAAAGTCGTGTCGTGAAATTTGGTGAAAACATATGCCGAAGGGAAAAGCTTTTAGTGCGTTCTGCCTTGTGGTAGGGGGCTCTCATAATGTTTCACGAGTTACATTTAATCTTCGGACAAAACTGCGTCACAACTTTTTGTCTTTGATTGTACAGTCTCGTTCAAGATTCTTCAAACACTGCTGGAGACATCTGGCAACTCAAGGCCGTTTGTTACTATAGCACATAGTATAATATAATACAAAACAACAAAGCTCAACCATTAAATTAAGTAACGGGGAACTAAGTAAGGACAGGGTCGTTGCGGGTCGGGTCGTGTTGCGTCTCTGTAACAAAGCATGTTCGGCATTCGGGCCTTCGTTGTTGAGCAGCAGAAATAAGACAGTGATTACATAAGAACATCAAGAACATCTTAGTGATGTGAAAGTGTAAATCGATGTAGTATTTTTAATGCTAGATGCGTTGTATTTTTGAAAACCCAATCTCCACCGAGTTCGAGGTACAGCCCAGGTCAAGAGGCCTACAACCACAAAATCATTGCCATATGACAAAGCTTTTATTTTATTTTTTGCGGAGCTTTTACTGTGCATTTAGTTAAATCAGTTCATAGTGTCATCAGTGACTGCGGAAGAGGTTGTAAATAACTTAAAGTGAATACAAACTGGCAAGCAAGCTGGTAAGGCACCACTGCCAGCAGAGACCAAGTCATGTTATAGGTGCCACAGAAACTTTTAATTATATTTCGGTTGTGTGCTTTCTCAAGAACTGAAACTGTGCCTACAAAACACCATTCACAGGGAGATACAGTGTACTGTACAGTGATAGCATAAAGTGATATAGTCGTTGATGAGAACTGGAAAAGAAAGTATTAGGAAATAATATTTAAAATAAAAAAACAAAAATAAAAAAAATAAACAAGCTAGGCTATCCTAAAGGGGATTCTATTACTGCTCCAAAGAAAGTTTTATTTTATTTTCTGTGTTTATAAAGGACTGAGTGGATGTATAAAATCTGTCATTCATAGCAAAATGCAGTGTACACAGAGATAGCACATAGATACCGACAAATTGCCGAAGTGAGCTGAAAAAAAAGAAGAGAAGAAAAACAGAAGATAACCCTAAAGATAACAGGGGAGGTTAAAACCATCAGAGGGCAGCTTAGTACTGTTTTTCTTTTCTCTATTTTTAAATAGGTGTAGATCTATACACAGTCTGCCCCACAACAACAACAACCATGATGGATATGATATGTGATTACTGTGGGGGGATAATGGACATGGATGATACGATACAGGCCTGACCATTGCAACGTTTAGGACGATGCAAGCTGCCGTAAAGCATGAAGGCTGTTGCTGGTATTGCCCTAACTGCATAGTCAAGGTGAAAGAGGTGATTGCAAGCCATAGGGGAACGAGTTCCCTAGGGACAAAAATAGATGAAGCTGGAGCCTTGCTGGTTGTCAAACTAGAATAAGTTGGGAAAGAGATCCTTGCTAAGACTGAGGAAGTAGCCCATAGAATGGAGGTGGTTGCTAAGAGGAGTTATGCTGAGGCATTAGCAGGGCCACGGGAGGTAGCGGGGAGTAATGCAGGATCAGAACAGGTTCTACAGCAGCTAGGGACTCTGAAGAAGTGTGTCGAAGAAATGAAAATTAGCGCACCTACTGTTAGGGGAGAGGAAGAACAACGGGAACGTTTCCAGCGCAGGAACAATGTAATAGTTTTTGGAGTTCCTGAGAGCCAGGCGGAGGGAACTGAGAGTAAGATAACACACGATAAGATGCAGTTTAAGAACATTTGTACAGAGGTTCTGAAGATACCATCAACCCCTCAGGATGTGAGGAGGCTGGGACAAAAGCAGGGGGATAAGCCTCGCCCCCTCAGGATCATACTAGTAAGTGAGGAGGAGAAATGGGAGGTTATTTGGCAGGCAAAAAACTTAGCAAGGAGAGAAGCATCTCGGAGTGTATTCATTCACCCAGATCGCATGGTAATGCAGAGGGAACAGCACAAGAAGCTCGTGCAGGGCTTGAAGCAGAGAAGGGAAGAGTCGAGGAGGAAAGGGGATGGGTATACATGGGTTATATTCAGGGGGAGGGTGGTGGAAGCAAGTGTGCTGACACAGGGCCAGGGGGCAGCAGGTAGAAGGTAAGCACCGTGTAAACAATGACATTTCTTTTACCACTCCCTGCAAAATACAGTGTACTTAGCAAATACTGCAGCTTCTGAGAATGGGGGAGGGGGGGGCGGAGTTACTGCTAAGAGCAGAGACATTACCGAGAACAAATTCTGGCTTGATGTACACTAATGCTGACACGTTCCTTGATGAGAGAGAGATGTTTGAAACACTACTGAAGGTACGTCAACCAGATATTGTAGGAGTTATAGAACTGTTGTACAAGAACAGGGGACTTACTTATTGTCAGGTGTATCTACAGATCCCCAAACTGTGGCCCACTAAATTAAAGGAACTTAAGAGCCTAATAGACAATGCAGCGATGTTCAACCCTAGCCACCTCCTTATCATGGGGGACTTTAACTATGGCGACATCGACTGGAGAAACGAGTTCACCCCAAATGACTTGAATAACCCTGCTACTCTTTTTGTAGAAACTCTGAGAGATAATTTTCTGTTCGAACACTGCTGTCTCCAGCAGTGTTCGAAGGATCTTGAACAAGACTGTACATTAATATCAGTGTGCCATGTGACATTATATTATGCATGTTAATAGTCCTTGAAACATAATTTGCTGCAAAACATTGGTTCAGGCATCAAGAATGTGGCAAATTAGAGGCAGGTTGGATGTATGAGTTTAATTTTTAGTTGGCAGCCTTTAAAAAATGAAACACAGTGTTGATGTTACATACTTTGTGAGTCTCATTATAAAGTACTGTATTGTACCACCATTAGCGAATGTTTTATGGATTAAAATGTATTGTTTAACTCACCTGAAATCTTCCGAAATTATCTTGGGAGTCAATATCAATATCTGGGATAAGCTCAGTCAAGTCCCGGAAGTGATGACGCCCCAAGTTCTCAGTCACATCATGTTCAGCTGCCATGAGAGGAAACCAGAGAATTCATCAACTGGGCCAAAAATAGTTCTTCATGTTAAAGTGAAACTTCTAAATAACAAACTTTCCCTCTCCATATAATCCGTTAGATGGGGGATTTCACATTTATTGGACCCTCGAAATATTTTACTTTCATCTCTATACAGTTCGGTAGATGCAGGTGTCACATCCAAAGGACCCTCAATAAAATGGATTTAATTTTCATATGCTGTACAAGTCCATTAAATAGAGTTGTTAAAAGCAAAATACTGTACAGCAGTGTATAATGTAAAATATATAATACAGTATAATACAAATTTAAGACATATTTTTACTATACAGTGGTCCCTCGGTTAACGAACACAATTCGTTCCAGAAGGTCGTTCGTTAACCAAAAATTTTGTTAACCGAAACCATTGTTTCAATGGAATTTTTGGTAATTGGTTCCAGCTCACCGAAAATTTACAAACAAACTAAAAACAAATGCAGTAAAGTACACTTACTTTGAGGTGTGCATGTAGAAGGCTCCTGGTTGATGATGATATGATGATGGGAATTAGAATGGGGTTGGAGGAGAAGGGAGAAGAGAAGGCATTGGGGTGGAAGAGATGTCACCACATGCCACCATTTCACCCATAAAATTTTAGTTCACTTAGTGTAATTCAAGATTATTTTCTTTAAATCAACACTGTACTGCATTATATATTGTCACTATGTAAAATAAACTTCAGAATGACCAATAATTGTACTGTAAAAACGGAAACATAGTTTATATTCAAGAGAGTCTCAAGCAAGAAGCTTCCTCCACTGAGCAAGGACACACACTGACGCCATTTTGGGTGAGTCAAGTGGCTGTTTGGCATGCTAAAAATAGTTCCCTGTACTTCAGTTATATTAAATACTGTAATTGTTAAAACGACTAAAAACTTTAATATAAGACTTGGAAAATTATTGAATAGTACAAACTTCTTGATATTTACTCAAATGGAAACGAATTTAAGCCCAAAAACTGATTACTGTATTGGCGGACTAATACTACAGCTGGTGAGCAGGCAAAAGCAGGCGAAAACATGTTGGGAAAAATTTGTAAGGAATTCGTTAACCGAAAATTTATTTCGTTAACCAAAGTGAAGAATCTTATGGAAGGCAATTCGTTAACCGAAATTTTGTTAACCGAGGCGTTCGTTAACCGAGGGATCACTGTAACAGTAACATATATAACATGTACAGTAAACTACTAAAGTCCATTAACTTTTCTCCTGAACCACATAGCCTGAGATTCAGACTCATGAACTCGAAGCAGTAGACTGATGCAATATTCTGTACACAAGGGGTTAAAGGTACTCACGCCCTGTAGCACACACCACGGTATCCTCTCTCTGCTCCTCCTCTGCTTCCCGTCGTCTCCTACCATGGACTGGTACTTCGTCTTTTTGAGAAACGTGAAAGATGTGTAGACTATAATCTTCCTCCTGTTTATTGAAGAAGGTATATATTTAATGGTCAGTACAGAGATATCTCTAATTAATGGACTATATGGGAGAGTACTGTCCAGTATATATCTATATTCAGCAGGAATATAGATACAGTAATGTAGGTATACGGTACACATAGAGTGCTAAGAGAGCTGTGCAACGAGCTTGCAGAGCCCCTGAAGATCCTGTTTTGTAAATGCCTGGATGAACAAATGGTCCCCAGTGAATGGAAAGTGGCTTATGTGAGTCCTATCTTCAAGAAGGGCGATAGTCACTCCACGAACAACTATAGACCGGTGAGCCTGACCAGCATAATATGTAAAGTACTTGAGAGTATTATCAGAGATGCCGCGATGGAACATCTACTATGAAACAACCTTGTAAAAGATTGCCAACACGGTTTTATGCCGGGGCGCTCTTGCTTAACACAATTGCTCAAGGTATTGGATATTTGGACCCATATTCTGGAACGAGGTGGTAATATCGACAATATTTACCTAGATTTTGCCAAGGCTTTCGACAGTGTACCCCACGAAAGGCTGAAAGTCAAACTGGAAGGGTACGGAATTCGGGGAAATGTTCCAGCGTGGATAGAAGACTTTCTACATGACCGCAAGCAGTGTGTGGTGATTAATGGCACGAAATCGTCATCTGTACCTGTAACAAGTGGGGTACCACAGGGCAGTGTATTGGGCCCGCTGTTGTTTGTTTGTTTCATAAATGACATGCCTGACGTTGTACACTCCTCCATACAAATGTTTGCCGATGATGGCAAGTTATTTCGGGAAATTAAGAACCAAGCGGACTGTGAAGAGCTGCAGAAGGACCTCTGTGGGCTCCAGGAATGGTCGAAGAAATGGCTGCTGAGATTCAATGTCACGAAGTGTAAGAGGATGCACCTGGGGCGTACCAACGGTAAGGAGGCGTATCATATGTCCCAACGGGATGAAGAAAATGCACAAGTTGAGACTGTGTGTGAGAAGGACCTAGGTGTGTATGTTGACAATGAGATGAAGTTCTCGGGCCATTGTGAGAAGAAGGTAAATCAGGCAAATAAATTATTGGGTCTTATAAGAAGGTCGTTCAGATATCTAGACGGTCCGTCCCTCGTGACGATCTTCAGGAGTGAAGTGCTTCCCCATCAGGAGTACTGTCACCCCATCTGGTCCCCGAGATATGCTAGGGACTGTCAGTTAGTTGAAAATGTTCAAAGGAGGGCCACCAGACTGGTGCCTGCACTTCGGCACCTCAGCTACCCTGAGAGATTGGAGCGCCTGAACTTGCCTCGCTTATACTACAGACGGGCAAGGGGGGACCTAGTTGAGGTGTATAAGCATCTCAGGGGGCACTACTCAGTTGAGTGTCCTTACTTGGAGCTGGCGGACGCTCGCCCCAAAAGGGGTCACAGCTCAAGATTGAAGAAGCCGCAAGTCCAGAAAACCGTGAGGGCAAACTTTTTCGGAGTGAGGGTTGTAAACTCTTGGAACAATCTACCAGAGAGTGTTGTGACGGCACCGAGTGTGAGCTCTTTCAAGAGAAGACTTGACCAACACTGGGGCAGGTTCAGGTACATTCAGGAGCCGGTGCATGCCCAGTATTTGCCAACAGTGCGTGACAGAGACACCGATGCGTGACAGAGACGTGACCGATCGCCCAAGCGGCTAACAAGCCGATCAGTGGCGAAGAGGATAAAAGTAAAGTAAAAAATAGGCCGTGGGAGTACTGTACTGTATACAGTTTCCTATGTGCTGAGACAGTGCAGGTATACAACAATGGTAAACACAGTAAGGTAACCGTGGATAGCTCACACAGGCTTGGAAAATGGCCGAGTAACATCCCAGCCCGTCTACTCCCATTAGGTTAGGTTAGGTCATCATTAACTGACAGCAGACAATCTGGAAATTCAGTACAATATGTGACATTTTCAGAGATAGACATAATGGGAGTAGACAATGTAGCCATATAACAATGATAACAATCTTGAAGAATATATACTGTACTGTACTGTACTTACAGTGCCAGTGTTCTGTCCATCATTGCCGCCTGGAGTCGTAGTGTACTGGTAAGAGCTCTCCTCATCACTTACTCCATCAAGTGAGCTAGTAAAAGGGATGTGCTCGTGTATTAAGTAGCGAAGACGATTTGGGAAAGAGTGGATTGTGGCCAACTGGTCTGGGGTCACGATGATGCCGTCCTGGAGGAATAAAATGAGTATATACTGCATAGTGAAACCTCTATACTGTATAATGTACTTCTCTCTCCACATAATCTGTGAGGTGGGGTTTTCACATTAACTGACCCTTGATACAATGAACTTTCATCTCGATATAGTCCAAATTAAAATGCAGTTTACTGTTAGGTTACAAAAACTTGTATCATTTCACTGAATTAGGAAGAAGAGAAAAAAAGACAGTCAATAAGAACAATATGTTGTGACTTACCAAGCCCTCACCATCACAGTTATTGACACTGATGACATGAGTGGCATTTGAGGAACGAAAATGGCAGAGGACTGAGGGGAACTCCACCAACTCCCCATCAAAATATATCCCGGCGGCCAGGTGGGGTGCTACGAGGCCCTCCGATGGTGCTAACACAGCATCCACATTCAAGTCCGGTGAGCTGTGAGGCAAGGATGATTTTATTGCTAGATTGGTGATAATGTTTGGAAATATTATCTTAACATTACAATTCTTTTTAATCCCTTTGATATAAATTCGTGATCACAAAATTACCAAAAAATTGGGGAAAAGTGATCAGTGAGAAGTGAATGTTCAAAAGAATTATCCTCGTTATAAAATGATCAAAGTATCAGTAACAGTTTATCTGATGATGTTGGCAGAGTTCCTTGATTCTGTTACTGTTGATCTGTTAACTATCAACTAACCAACCAACTCCTGCTCCACCTCCCACTACAGTCCACCTTAAATGAAGAGTGCATGAACTTTTTTGTTACATTTCATTGTCAACATGTTTATGTGTTTCACTGACCTGATGATAAGTCTCACAAGGTCGGGTTTGTCAGCACTAAGGTAGGGGAAGAGTCTGGGTGTCACCAGGTGGAACACTGGGTCAGGGACGTCACCGAAAAAGTGGTGTTTCTCCTCAGCAGTCATCTTATTCAGCAGCGCCTGGATAGGTGTGATACTGTAATAGTTGTGAGTCAAGTCTGAGGTTCCTGTTAAGGTTTACTCACCTTAGCAGACAGAAAACTCTTGATAATACCATATAATATACATTTAACTCACTCATTACTGCATGGCTGAACTGGTATATGAAGACAACAGTACTTGTCAAATGGTTCAGTATAAACCTAATCTAACCCAATAGAACTAGGGTAAGTGTGGTAGGAACAGAACTAGGGCAGGTGTGGTAGGAACAGAACTAGCGTAGGGTAGGTGCGGTAGTAACAGAACTAGGGTAGATGTGATAGGAACAGAACTAGGGTAAGTGTGGTAGGAACAGAACTAGGGTAGATGTGATAGGAACAGAACTAGGGTAAGTGTGGTAGGAACAGAACTAGGGTAGGTGTGGTAGGAACAGAACTAGGGTAAGTGTGGGAGGAACAGAACTAGGGTAGGTGTGGTAGTAACAGAACTAGGGTAGGTGTGGTAGGAACAGAACTAGGGTAGGTGTGGTAGTAACAGAACTAGGGTAGGTGTGGTTGTAACAGAACTTGGGTAGGTGTGGTAGGAACAGAACTAGGGTAAGTGTGGGAGGAACAGAACTAGGGTAGGTGTGGTAGTAAAAGAACTAGGTTGTGGTAGGAACAGAACTAGGGTAGGTGTGGTGAACAGAACTAGGGTAGGTGTGGTAGGAACAGAACTAGGGTAGGTGTGGTTGTAACAGAACTAGGGTAGGTGTGGTAGGAACAGAACTAGGGAAGGTGTGATAGGAACAGAACTAGGGTAGGTGTGGTAGGAACAGTGGTGTGTAACAGAACTAGGTAGGTGTGGTTGTGGTAGGTGTGGTAGGAACAGAACTAGGGTAAGTGTGGGAGGAACAGAACTAGGGTAGGTGTGGTAGTAAAGAACTAGGGTAATGTGTGGTAGGAACAGAACTAGGGTAGGTGTGGTAGGAACAGAACTAGGGTAGGTGTGGTAGGAACAGAACTAGGGTAGGTGTGGTTTGTAACAGAACTAGGGTAGGTGTGGTAGGAACAGAACTAGGGAAGGTGTGATAGGAACAGAACTAGGGTAGGTGTGGTTGTAACAGAACTAGGGTAGGTGTGGTAGGAACAGAACTAGGGTAGGTGTGGTTGTAACAGAACTAGGGTAGGTGTGGTTGTAACAGAACTAGGGAAGGTGTGATAGGAGCAGAACCAGGGTAGGTGTGGTAGGAACAAAACTAGGGTAGGTGTGGTTGTAACAGAACTAGGGAAGGTGTGATAGGAACAGAACCAGGGTAGGTGTGGTAGGAACAAAACTAGGGTAGGTGTGGTTGTAACAGAACTAGGGTAGGTGTGGTAGGAACAGAACTAGGAAGGTGTGTAGGAACAGAACTGGGTAGGTGTGGTTGTAACAGAACGGGGTAGGTGTGGTAGGAACAGAACTAGGGTAGGTGTGGTTGTAACAGAACTAGGGTAGGTGTGGTAGGAACAGAACCAGGTAGGTGTGGTGGGAACAAAACTAGGTGTGTGGTTGTAACAGAACTAGGGTAGGTGTGGTTGTACTAGGTGTGGTTGTAACGGAACTAGGGTAATGTGTGGTAGGAACAGAACTAGGGTAGGTGTGGTTGTAACAGAACTAGGGTAGGTGTGGTTGTAACAGAACTAGGGTAGGTGTGGTAGGAACAGAACTAGGGTAGGTGTGGTTGTAACAGGACTAGGGTAGGTGTGGTTGTAACAGAACTAAGGTAGGTGTGGTAACAGGACTAGGGTAGGTGTGGTTGTAACAGAACTAGGGTAGGTGTGGTTGTAACAGAACTAGGGTAGGCAGGGCCGGATTAACCATGAGGCACTTGAGGCACTGGCCTCAGGCCCCCCGACTCTAAGGGGCCCCCAAATCCAAACATTCTCGAAGTTGAAGCATATAAAACATGAACTTCGTTCAACGATGTCCTGGCAACGTCTCAATTTTCTGTCTCTTATGAACATTGAATGTGTTATTTTGCAGAAGTTTAATATTGATGAAATCATTGATAAATTTGGGTATATTTTGTTCTTGCTATATATATATATATATATATATATATATATATATATATATATATATATATATATATATATATATATATATATATAACCACAAGGAAAAAGCACGAAGTTCAGGCCTTTCGTGTAATTCACATCTTCAGGGTGAGTCTGTACTCACCTGAAGATGTGAATACAACACAAATTTCCTTATAACACTCTATCACCTTGCACTACAGTGATTTACTTATATTTATATATATATATATAATATATATATATATACTGTACATGGTAGGGGGCCCCCAAGTTGATCTGTGCCTCAGGACCCTATTAAGCTTAATCCGTCACTGAGGGTAGGTATGGTAGGAACAGAATTAATACCCAATTAATTATTAAATCATTCCCATACCCCAGACACCAACAACCTATACAGTACAGTTTATAAATCCGAAGTTATACATCACATACCTGCTTCAGATTTGTTATATTGTTGATCGCTTTTGTCTCTGTCACAGTAACTTGTAAGGCGAGGCACAACCCCAAGGTGAGGAGGACGACACTTGTTCCGTCCATCCTGATCAGCTGAGTGTTGGAAGGCAACTGAACAGTTCAATGGTCATCACTCATCAGGAAGTGAGCGCGGTTCTGCAGGGGTCACCTCATTAGTTATCTGTCGTGACCTGACCGCCAGAGAGAGGTAAAGATATGGTTTCTATTTATAGAATATATGTACAGTACTTAAAATGTGTATATATCGAGCATATCTTCACTGAATTTGCATAAATGTATATACTGTATATCGAACATCATGTCACAACTGTGTAAAAAATACAATATGTTACACTGATTCACGCAATGTATATATTTATATTATATTTATTAAACATATTTTCACAGAATGTGTGTGTACTGTATGTGTGCGTGTTTGTGGATATATGCCATATATCTATCTCCGAAATTTAAATATTAAGAAATAGTGCGATGATACGTCAATATTGATGACTAATAGAGTGTTTAGGCAAAGTCTGCCTCTCTTACTGCTCATGTAACATGAATACCCGGACGTAGCGATCCCTTGGTAAAATACATATTTGACTGATTTCAAAGGACGTCATGCACCAGTGTGACGTCACGAAATTGTAACTACTGTTATATACAGTATATAAGGCATACAGGCAGACCAATATATAAGGACCTACATGCACTCACACAAAAGCTTGGCCGTATCTTTAAAGTAACTTAAGCACAGAGAAAATACTACATTGGAATCTGGATTATCAAGATCCAGACACACATTCCAGTATTAACCTCAAATGGAGGTGGGTTTGTGAGCAACGCCCCCAGGACCGGGAAGTCAGGTCACGGGGTCACGTCTCCCGAGATCACCTGGATACTCACTCACACACAGGGGAAGTTGTTTTTATGCGTCAAAGCAGCCAAAACTTATCGCTCAAATGGTAATTTATCTCCTTGGTAGAGATTACATTAGATCAAGTTAGAATGTGTCCTAACTTTGTACTAAGTGTGTGTGTGTGTGTGTGTGTGGAGAAAATAAAAAATATTTTATCAATGAAAGCCTTCACTACAGGCAGGTAAGGCAGGGTTTCGAATCAAGGGCAGGATTGATTTTTTAGATTGCCTCACCTGATAGACTATCAAGGGAGAAACTCCCACTGTAAAATTTACGAACATCTAGAATTGTAAAATTTTCTTCAGCTCAAGATTCTAGATTCTACTGTACAGTATACTCTTGGGTTAGGTTACATAACCGTAGGTTAGGATAACTGGTGTGTGGGGAAGTTTACCTGGTAAATAAGGAAAGTTACAAGAGAAGTGAGTAAAGTTTCTATGCAAGTAAATAATAGCAGAGTGCCAGGAAACTCAATAATTATCTAGTTTAACAGGTCATAAATATATACTACATTAGAGACAGAATACAGTATGGAAAAAATCTTTACTCACCATACATAATTATAACTCCAGTGATGGATGTTTTTCTCCAAGTGTTATTACAACACACTTATTACCCTCTGAACAGTAAGATATGGAAGTCCCACTCTCCATGTCTGATCAGGATCTATCTGTACTGGGGATGCTGCTTTTTCATCATTTATCTTTACAGTTTTCTCAACCACTCATTGATTTACCAACTCTGTGCTGCTTCCCAACTCACTCTACCCACTTATCTCCTCACTTCTTTACTAGTTGTTCTCTTTCCTTCTTCTGTCAGGGATATTTTGTCGTTTTCTATTCTTTTACGTGGCTGCCTCTTCCTCGCAACTCAACTCTAAGTATTACACCATTCCTCCTTGATTTTTCCCAACAGCAATACAGTTTGTAACCCTTGAATTTTTTTCCAGATCATTGTCTTTTCAACACACGTCAACTTTATATCCAGCCACAGTATCCACCAATTTCTCTCCTTCACCATGACACAATCCCACATTCCTATTCCCATGTTTATTACAGTTCTTCACCACTTGTATCTTTAACCACGACTGTAAATTTTGTAATACTAAACTGTATCGTTCTGTACTACTGTACTGTACTGTACTGTAATACTGTCCTGTACTCCTTGTCCACTTGTTATATCTACAGGATACTGTACTGTCATGTTTCACTTGTGGGGGTCACACTAACACTGGTCTGAGACTGAAGAGGCTTGCGATTCATTATTATGAGCAATGTGTTCTTCCAGCTGTATGTCCTTGATGATACCAATCCCAGTTTCAAGCAGTGGCCCAAGCTTAACGTTTATTATTTCCATCCACTTCTATGGCAGTGAAGTGCCTTAGGTGTTGTTTCATGTCTTCTACTGCCGGTTGGAAACTAAGGTCCTCACTGCTGTTGGCTTTACCACTGATCTTCGCCCATGCCCTGGGCCAGGGACTAAACCAGGTGTTACCGTCCGGGCCAGACCTGGAGCTCACGTACGGCAGAGACGCTACCCCCTGAAGCAGTCAGCAAGCCAACCACCCGTTACCGTTGATTGTGGGACGTTTTGTTTGGACCTAATCTAACCTAACCTAACCATGGCTATGGCAAACATCCTTGACCCAAATGCCGGCTCACCATTACCATTACTTCTTTTTCCATATCTCATACAAGCCTATATCCTTGTGTTAACAGATGAGTCGTCCCATAATGTTTAACATCTACTGACATGGCCAAGTACAGTACTGTATGATGAATGGAAGGATTAGACTCAACTAATTCAAGCATATCATCCCATTCAACTGGTGCACTTGGAGGTAGGTAAAGTAAATAGTACCTGCATAGTATATAATAATAAGTACAGCACTGGTTTGTGCTCTTCAATGAAGGTTGAACTGCTATTTTCACTTACTCGAGAAAACAGAGGGAAATGAAGAGCTGGGACATCAAGGCAAATATAAGTAAGACAAATTTAAGATGACCAATGGAAAAGAAACAAGGAGAGAACTTTGCCACTTGTTGACCCTAAATCTAAAACACTTCCACTCTAAGCAGCTGTGAACAGTCAAGGGATACAAAGAATTTACATTATCATCTGACTATCTTTTGTATTCCTGAAATTCATCTTATGATAAAATGTTACAGTACTGTATTTTGATTCACTTCACCAGATTCATCCAATTTCGTAGCAAGACACTGAATGTTATGTACCTTTTAACCTTTACTTAAGGTAAATAAAACATGTACACATGTACTGTATCTCATATTATAATATATATTATATATACCTGTAGTACAAAATATTTAAAACATTGATGAACAATTATGTCACTTCATAATACAATCATATTTATTCTATATAGTAAACATATAAAAGAGAATAATAATTAGAAAATAAATGTTCTTTAAGTTCCTTCTAGAAATAAGCAGCTGACAGGTTAGTCAGCTATCTTTGGTCAAATTACCTTACTGTTTACCACTGTTGTACTGTACTGTACTACTGTATACAGTTTAGCATGAATATAGACAATGTAGGTATATGTGTACAGTCACTCACAAGAGTCCTGTTTCCTCTCCTCCTAAACTGAAGCAGTAGACAATAATGGATGAGTCTGTCCATAAATGCTTCTGATTCATGAGTCTGAATCTCGGAGTTGGTGGTTCAGGGGGAGAGGCGATGAGTTTTATGGTGACTGTACACCATATACTCATCTATGTAAACTGTTTATATTTATACTGAACTTTATACTTGCATAGTTGATATACATGTCTATCCAACTGTAAAGCTGTAAGACAATTTTACTGATTTATTATTATTTTTATTACACGAGTGTATCAATCACAGCTCTCCAATCAACAGAGATCCTATTAATATTCAGGTAATTATTAGGAAGAGAAGTATTTATGAAAGGCATTACTTTCTAATTTCATCTTCTTCTCTCCAGCTTCTGAAATGTTTCCTTTACGTTTCCTACCTTCTGTAGCTATGTTTGGTTGGACAAAACCAGATCTTGAAGTAGACTGGGTACTACTGGATGGTCCTGACACTGTTGAGTCCTGTTGCATTATTTCATTGATTGTATTACCACTGAGGCAATCATCTACATGCTTGTTAAAGGCTCTTAACGTATTAAGTTGCTTCTGGTTACATACAGGACATTCAAATTCATGCACTTGGTTTCCTGACATCAGTTTACTTATCTCTCTGGTTGGTGCAACAGCTTCTGAAATATGTGAGAATTCCGAGTGTTCCTCATGTTCATCATCACCATAATTATAAGTGGCACCTCCATTGCTTTTTGGCCCAGTATGCATGCTGTGTACTTCTCCACTTACAGTTCCTACTTTTTCAACATCTCTTTCTTCTTTAGATGTGGATATTATTCTTAAAATTTGTATATCATTATCTCTTTTAGCATCAAGTGGTACTGTTGGTGCACTGGGCTCATCAACATTTGCCTCGTGACACCTGTCAACATGAACAAGAAAATATGTAAAATCAGAAACTTTTATTTGATTCCCACACACTGGGCATTCATGATATTCTGATTTTGTGGTGTCTAAACTTACCAGAGATTTTGAAAGAAAGTTTTCAATTGATACGCTGCTCTTTTTAGTAGCATTCACAGTTTTCTTTGAATTTGACATTATGCTAGTTGTACTTTGTACAGTTGATGATGTTATAGTACTGCCACTAGCAGTAATATCAGGCTGATGTGTATCTTTCATATTCAATTGAATTTCTCTAGTGTGAGTGGAGGTGTCACCAACCATTTTCTTCTTCATTTCATTTGCAGTAAATGAACTGGTTTTAGGTTTCAAAGATTGGGAGAACATTTGCGTGAGAGTAATTTGACGTTTGGGGCCAACTTCAGACGAACTCATGAGACCAGACAAACGTACACCCAGTAAACGCAGAGACAGAGGCTGTGCTGAGGCATTCATTTCATGCTGCAACAGTCTCCATCAAAGACCATAACATCAGATGCACAAGTATGATCTGGCAAAGTCTGCGTTCGAGTCTTGATCTGGAAATCAGACGTTTTCAACTTCAGGGTAAAAGCTTTTCCTAAAATTTCCTTTTGTTTCATATCATCTGCCAACTGATTACACAGTTCCTCGACAATTCTAAAAAGTGAAACTTTATTTGCAGTGTCTCGGAAAGTAGTTTCTGTGCTTATCGACTTGCGATCTTTTTCCAACCACGATTCCAGGCTGGTGTGACCCAAACCCAAAGCAATATTCATAAAATTGTTATAACTGATGTCAGAGAAGAGGAGTTTGAGAAGACCACGTTTCATCATCAAATGTGAGCAGACAGTTATGTCCAGGGCATGAAGGCTTTGCTCCATCACATCGCCAATACCACTCACCTGTAACAAATATTTATACATTACTATTACTGTACTATAATTAAAATGAAACATTAAAATTACACAAAATGATGTGAGCTGAGTATAGAATGAAGAGCTATGTTACAGTATACTAAAATGAAAAATAGTCCTGTAATTATATATACTTTATGTTAAAAGTACCCAGAGAATAAGAGGCTGGCACACCTCACCATGTAATGATGGCATTCAAGGAAAGGTGAAGTAGAAGTATCACATAACAAAATATGACTCAAAAAACACAACTTCCTTCTTTCATTACATCTACATTATACTGTACTGCTCTTCTACCAAGTATCTATGTCATTTCCTCTATTGGAGAATGTGTATTAAACTCACTCACTTTGCGTATGGGAAGTGTAGATATAAATGTGAGAATCTGGTCACGATCAGGCGGAAGGTAAAACTGTCCGTTGGGTTTATTCATGTCACTACAGACCTTTGCCAGAAGAGTGTTGGGAGCGATACCTGGAACAGACATAAACAAGTATAAAAATGAATTTGTACACTTTAAAATTGTATTATATTATTTCATTTGAGACTTTATTTCACAATGCAAGAAATATTTCTTCATAATAATATGTATTCAGTAAAATTGCCCTACTGGTTTACAATTAGATAGGCATGTATATAAACTATGCAGGTATAGCATTCAACATAAAAATAGACAATGTAGGTATGGTGCACATAGGCTGTGTGATTATACAGTTTCCTCTGTGCCAAGACAGTGTAGGTACACAACAATGGTAAACAGTAAGGCAATTTGATCAACAGTCACCAACAAGTTAAGTGTAAGATTGAATCAAATTTCTTACAACATGATGATGATGACAATGATGATGTTAATTCTCCTTGCTGAATGACTAAACTGAACTGTACTACATGAATATGAGAAAATATAAAATTCTCCATGGTACAGAGACACATAAACCCAAATTCTTTCACTGTGAGAAGATTGTATTCTACACTAACCTGCACTTGCTGTTAACTGGGTCTTGTCACATATTTTTTGTCTCATTTCTGCTACTATTGCCTCAGACAAGCCTCTATAGCCACAATCTGTTGATGAAGTGATGGTTGGTCTTGAGATATCTTCACAAATTGCATTTTATATACAGTACTCTATACTGAACTGATAAAAGCAAAATGCTATCAGCATTTGTTCTATATAAGCCATAATTACATTTCTGTGATGTAAGATGAATCAGTGATACTACAAGAATAATTACACTATAGCGTGTAATGTACAACATATTTACACTAGCTATAGCGTGCATTCAACAATTTATCCAATACTTTAGAATGTGTACTATCAAAGTGTTATGTGTAATTTAGTATTTTAGTAATTTTAGGTAAGGGTTGGGTAGACTAAACCGCACACTACAGTAGCACTGATAAATCTGTATGTTTATCCACATTATCAAAACTAGTACAGTATGGAAACAAAATGGAACAGGAAGCATAAAACTCACCTTCCAAATTGTCAAAACCATAGTGATGAGCATATTTATGCATGTATTCAGTAATGTTGAGGTATGCTTCATCTAAGGACATGGGGCAGAAGTTGGCATCATACTGAGAAAATATTTCTTGAACATCTTTACTCACTTCTTTATACTTAGTAAAATCTGGTGGAACGATAACAAGATCAGGACAAAGTTTCTTGCCAATGAAGCCCGGCATTGCTGCCCGCACACCAAACTTACGAGGCTATAGTTACTGGTGCTCAGCATTCCCATTCCTCCTACTGCCATTGGCTTATCCCTGAAAAATGTATCTCTTATTAGCCCATTCACTACAGGTATGCCACTTTTATTATCTTATTTCACTAATGCCAAAACATTTTATTCTCTCATAGGCGACCCAGTACACAAGTGTTTAAGGAAAAAAACTGTGCTATTTAATGAACAAATTACAAAAACTGTTATGTGAATCATACATTCACCTCACACTTGAAAAACAAATCATATCATAAAACCTGATGTGATGCTGAATCTTTCAAACACTTTTACAAATATCAACTTTAGAATTGAGATTGTCTTGGGTTGTAATACTGTACAGTCAACTACCTGTACTAAAGTCTGTTCGCCTCTCCCCCTGAACCATGAACCCCAAAATTCAGACTCGTGAACCCGAAGCAGTAGACTGATATATTATTCTGTCCATAAATGCTTTAGATTCTTGAGCCTGAATCTCAAGGATAATGGTTCGGGGGAGAAAAAGACTTTTGTAGTTGACTATACTACGTTAACATCTCTCAACTTGCCTTAATGAGGGGTCATCTCTCATCTCTACAGCAGCATAGAACATGTCCATATCAACGTGTACAATGGTCTGGCTTAGGTCACGACTCATTTCCAGGTCTTTAACTAATTGATCCATCTGCATAAAGGAGACATAATAATAGACATGTATTAGTATATGTATGTATGTGTGTGTGTGTGTGTGTGTGTACATAATTATATAAATATGAAGTGGACTGCTGGTGTGAAGATTTTGTGCTTTGACTTGAGTAAAGTGAAAACTATTTAACGGACTATAGGGAGAGGAACAACCATTATATCGAGGTTCCGTTAGATGAAAACCTCCATCTAACTGATCATACGGAGAGAGAAGTCCATTACAGGTACTCCCCGACTTACGACGGGGTTAGGGACCGACATCCAGGTGATAAGTCAAAATGGTCGTAAGTCGGAAATGCTTCAATAACACATAGAAAATAAAAAATTTGGGTCTCTTTTTCTTTTCGGCACCACAAAACACTCACTTTTAAGCTTGCCAGCCATTTTAAAGTGAATTACAGATGAAAATTTTGTCTGTATACTGACTTTGGGACTCAAAAATACATAATTTGACCACATTTTGGTACGACTGAGGCGGTCGTAAGTGCGGGTGGACGTAAGTCGAGTCAGTAATAAGTTGGGGACTACCTGTATATTGACTGGAACTTTTGGAGATATACCTGAAGAGTTGCTTTCTTGATCTGGTCTTCAGTAAAGGCTGCAACCTCTTGCTTCATCTCGGATATCTTAATATCAAGTTGCTGTTGACGTTTTTCTTTGTGCTCATAAAACCGTGATCCCATAGACGCATTCTTGATTATTTCGTTTATTTTATCGGTGTCTAAACCTGCAAGCGAAATTCAACATCAAAATACTGAAGAACATATTGGTATTGTATTTACATTAGAAATAGGTATTTAGATGAAGTCATAATCAGATGAAATATTCAGTACCTACATAAATTCATTAAGCATGTAAATTAATATTCTCTATTTTTTAAAGGAATAATTGTGTCCCTCATTTATATAATTCATTAATTGATTACTGTGTACAGTATATCAAAGATAATTTTAATTTATTTTTGTCTGTAAGAAATGACATTAGAGTTAGGAACCTGACAAGAAAGACTACAAGAGATCATGCAACATGGAGAGCTGCCATCAGGTAACCACTGCTAACCCACACAAGCTTGGAAAATGGCCGTAAAATGATGATAATGATGATGATGTAAAATAGTATGGAAAATATACTTTCTATATATCTATCCATATATTTTTTAATTTTTTTACACTACAAGACATCTTAGGTTGATTCCATTATCTATTATCACTATATAAAAAGAGTATTGTACAGTACAATTTATCCAATGGTGAAGAAACCGTCTGGCCAATCACTGTATTTAGTCATATAAACTTAAACCCTTGTGTACAGCCTTCCTTCTGTTCTGAATAAAATCGTCTGGCATTGGCCAAATAAAATATTCCCATTGTGAAGGGATTAATATATCAAGCAGGTGTTAATGGGTAGAGGGAAACATGGAGGAAAAGTGAAACAGTAGATTAAAGAAAGAGTGGGAAAGGGGATAAGTGAAGAGAAAGTAAAATATTGTACATATGTAGTGATAGGCTGATACATAAGATTCTTTCGTTATGAACACTATATAGAGTATAGCAGAGTTTTCAAAACAAATGAGATATACCTTGTGAAGTATAAAGTACAGTACCCATCAACACTAAAAAGACAACACTCAAAATGTGGGCAACTCAACTATGGTTCCTACCTTCCATTCCTGCCTTGTTGGTGTTGAGTAACAGGTTTTGTGGTCCTGTTGAGCCATTGCCAGGAGAGTTTTCCTCCAGCCTTGAGAACCTTGTCCTTAAGTTTGTCCATGATGCTGTACTGTACTCCAATGTTACTGTATCTTTGAGGTATATTGTATTATACTGTATTTTATTCTATGGTAAGACTTGAGTTAAATCCTGCATCTGAAAATTGTTGAGAATTTTAGTGGCTTCTTGTACTGTCATATCTTTACCCAATAAGTAAGATACTTTGAATACTGGAAAGCCATGAACAAGATGTCAACTACGGACCAAATGTATGTCTGATAAAAACTTTGGTAATTTATGAGAACGCCGCAACCACAAGATAAAGGAGTTGCTCTATTTTGTTATTTTTTCCGCAGATGTTCTTATCATTATAGCAAGTGTTTTAAAGGAGGCAACAACTTGTTATTTTAATTATACAATTATATTTAAATTTTTTTAGTTATTCTCTATGATCATAAATTACCAGTAGTGGCCAGGGCAGGATGAGGGAAATTGCAGGGTAAAACAAGGTGAAAAACTATCATATTAATGTACACTAAAATGACGTTTCTATGTGCTTTGTAATTTAAGAAATTAATTATTTACCGTAAATACTCCCTCCAAAAGATCTGCCGAGTCAGTGTGCGCTGTTGTTTGCTGTGTTTGTCTACAACCAATCCACTCAGTCCGAGCATACTCTCCGCCCACAAAAAAATTTAAAATTACACCATGACGCTAAAACAAAATTCCATTCATTCATACCAGATATCATAATACCTGTACTGGTAAGTTCTTTCTGTGTAATATGGCAGGGAGTGTGGGTGGCAAAGCCCCCAGCTAGGAAGTTAGGTAAGGTTGGATAATTTTTGGGGGGGAAGAAATACAAGAATTAAATAAAATAGTTAAAGAAAATAAAAGAAATTGTTAATGATTATAATTATCATCATTCTCTCTCCCCAAGCTATTACAGTAAATCAGTGAATACAAGTATATATGTGTAGAGGTTTTCAATTTATCAATATGGCCACAAGATATATTACAGATGATAAGGCTATACAACAGTTTCAAGCAACAAATAGGTACTTGTCTCCAAATCCGGTTTTCTAGCTGAACGTTTAGGGAGCTTAAATTTAAACCTGCCAATGGCTCTCAAGTATTACCTTTCCTCCTGTTGCACCTTATATATTTGCAGCATGGAGAATAAGATCCAATTTTTTCTTTGTTTTTCATCCTTTGGAAATCGATGAAGTATCAAACTTTTATCATGTATTCTGTAATTTGATATGCATCCCGATAAGGCGCATTTATCAGGCATCGTCACAGACCTTCATACCTTCGGTGGCACCCCAGGCCACCGACGATTTGACATTATGCGCGGCAAAGGACGAATTTTCAACTACAAGTGGGTTGACTTAGTTTAATTATGCTTTGTTTGTTATATGAAGCTGTCACGGATTAAAATCTATGGTAAACTAAATTAAGTACAGCACTGTACTTGAAAGAAAATACCGAACTTTTAACTCACTCAAAACTACAATTAAACAAGAACGTTAACCATAAATTTCACTCGTGAATAAATAGTAACCCAGATAAATTTGTAATAATAAAGAATGTTATTAAATTACTAGACTCAAAAAATAATTTACTTATGCGTGAGGGAACAAACATATTTCCAGTAAAGGCTTTACTGGAAATATGTAGACTGGTGACTTGATTGGGTTATCCTTGACCAAATCAAGGTGGAGAAGTTACAGTTTACCGTTGCATGTTACTGTATGTAGTGGATACTTTGCCCTGACCAGCTAAGTTCCTACAAATGCTATTTTACTGCGAGTGCCTTCTCGTTGCCTAAGTACTTTCAGCTTAATATGACTTGGAGTCCGCCCAGCCAGCTATGAAGTTAGGTAAGGTTAGATAGGTTTCTTTGGTTGATGAGGTCAGGTTCTAGTAAATGTTACTTCTTTTATAATGACAAGAACATCTGTGAAAAAACACATCGAGCAACTCCTTCTGGTTAAGTATGTTTATAGCTACACAATGATCGACTCATGGCGAAATAAATGCCAAATGCTGTCAGTCACGGTCACATACCATTCTCGCATTGTTCGCCGGTAATGAACGATTAGCCAATCAGAGTGCACTCACGGTAAAATAGCGTTAGTAGGAATTTAGCCAGTCAGGGCAAAATATTCATTGTCGTTTATACTGTACCTGCTGGCACATTGTTGTATATTTGCACTGTTTGTATCAAGGTCTATAATTATACAGTACTGTACATGCTGAATCAATTTGAACATGCTCGTATTCTTACCAAAATCTGAGGACAGCCAATGGACGAATACTTACCTGAAATAACATTAATTTACTCTGTCAATTGACTCCAGTTCTTTCTTGTTTTGATTTGGAGGCCAAGAGCATAGCCCTATTGTTATTGTTATTAGACTGGTGAAGAGGTACACTTGGAGGTTGACCACATAACACACTATGTTGGTAACTTAACCACCAGAGGCGGTAGTGTTGTGTACAGAACCCTCGCCTACTCGGGTATATAAATAGATTGTTTAAAATTCTATTTTAGGTTCCAGGCAAATTATTCCTTATTTATCCAATGTTATAGGTAACTGTGTGTGTTGATATATAATATATAAAGGGTAGATAAACACAATATAGACAGAACAGTCTTCAGTATCACAGATAATTCGTTAATGACTATCACATAATTATTTAAACAAGAATAAAATAACTATATATTGTTATTTTCGTGTATGTGTACAGTACATAGACACATTATTTGTACACACATCACTACACACACACTTATATACGAACCTTACAATAATATAAAGAAATATGACTAATAATATCTATTCACTTCTAAGTAAAATAAACCCGAACTGATAACTATGACAAAAAAAAACTTGCCAATGGAAAAAATACTACAGAAATTCATAATTAATCAACAAAATGAAATTACTGTTTGGGTTACAAAATATGTAAATTAATAACAATATTCAGAACAATACACGAGTTGATGATGATGTGGGCAGTCATCATGGTCAGAGGTGAATGTTGTTGCTGATGAAATGCTGTAAAGGCGAATATGCGGGAATTGATGTAACTGAGTATTAAAGTTAACTAATGGGTTATATTTAGGGGTTTAAAGTGTGCGTGTGTGAGTCCTTAGTATTGTCTCATGTAAAAGCATAAACAAACACGGGTGTGGACACTGGACAGGTATAAGCACTTCTTAATACGTTTGTCTCAGGACAAAACAATACCACACATACATACTAATGTCCTTCAGTGTAGGTGAGGTAATTAACAATAATATATAGGTTTATACGGTTATATACGTATTATATAACCGTATAGTCCTATATAGTACATCTCTTTCTGCTACATCTTTCTTATAAACAACTACAACTACATATCACAACGTATGGACGGAGTTGAGTTACGAGTAATTTAAGAATTTGCATCAAATACTTAATGAGCATCTTACGACAAGTTAGTTATACTGTACGAAGAACTTGATAGTCGTGTGATGATGAGCGGACGTCAGGGAGCCACCGAGTCGTCTGCAGTGCCTATATAATTATATAATTATGGGTCTTTGAAGGAGGGTTGATGGAGGAGATTCAGGGTCAAGTTTTTCACTTTCTGGCTTTCATTTTAAATTTTTTTCTTTTTTATACATCTTGTAAATGTAGCGCCAAATTTCTGACCTCTTTGTTTTAATATATTTCAGATAGGGAAGTGAGAGTTCAGACATATATAGCCAGGTGAAGTGAATGTCTTCCGTAACACCAATGCCTGGAGGTGACAGTGGCTCCATATCCAGGTGGTGGCAGGTAGACACATTACCCGGGTGACTCGTGGCTCGGTTATGGTCCTTGGTGTACCGTACAGTATACTGGTGGCATGGTTGCTATCACGTAATGTAACATGTACTTCTGGTCAGGAAAGTGGCAAGAAATTCATTTGTTGTGTTATAATACATCTAGGACTTACACGTCGAGTCCTTCACTTGTGAGAGAGAGCATCCGCCATGATGTAGAGGATGGCAACAATAATGCACAGGAGGTGAAAGAAGTCTTCGCAGAGGGACGGAAGAGAGTGTCAGAAACTTAACTACAATAAGTGTGGTACAGGAGGCTCTAGACATGGACGTCGTCCCGCTGGGGAAGTTGATGGCTCGCCCTGATTCAGATGAAGATGAAGGTACAGAAGGTCTAGAACAAGGAGTGGTGTTGCAGCTGGCTTTGACTGGTGGGCGGGAGAAGGGATCGCACATTTCGTCTGAGAGAGGGACAGCGCCCCCTGCAGCAGTACAGGTGACCAGGTTCTCGCGCCAGCCGCCCCCACACTCTGCAGTGCACTCCGTTAAGTTGGTCAACACCCACTGCGAGGTGAACACAGCCCTGGGAAGTCCGCCGCTCAGGAACAAGTATCTGAATTGCAACAAGAACTTTTCGAAGTTCACTCCCTCCTGAAGAAACTTTGAATCTACTTAAGAATTTCACTACCAGCTGGAGATATTAACAAGTAGTTGAACAAATTCCTATCTGTTAATAAAGTCTGTATCTCACCAAGAACTCCTCTATTATCTTCTATAAAAGTTTTCTAGAAATTTCGTATACCTGCTAACAACTTCCTTACCTTTTGAAGAAGTCTTTCATTCTCCTGAAGATGCCGGAGAAGCCGGAGGGAGAGCTGGTGGTGGGGATGTTGTTGGCGGATCTGGCCTGCTTTTTCCTGTTGTTGGGAGGCTTGGTGGTGGTGTCGACGGTTGCGGTGGTCTTTGACTGAGTGGCCTTGGCTGGTTTACTAACACACTGCCCATTAATGCAGAACTGTAGAGGAAAATGGGGATTGTATCTAGGTGTGTGAGAGAGAGAGAGAGAGAGAGAGAGAGAGAGAGAGAGAGAGAGAGAGAGAGAGAGAGAGAGAGAGAGAGAGAGAGAGAGAGAGAGAGAGAGAGAGAGAGAGAGAGAGATAAATAATTATCCGGCCTATCTGTAAAGGGACTTCGTCCACTATAAGTAACACCATGTAAATTCCCCCAATCCAGAGTTAATTTAGTAGCTTTCTCCATTAAAATCATCAAATCCACAATAAAAGTAAAGAATAATACAACAAATTATCGGAGAAAAGTAAAAATTATCAACTAACAGTAACCTCGCAGAGCAACCATCGTCTATTCTACTAGAGTTACGCCAGAAAAGGCCACGAAAGGCTGAAAATCAAACTGGAAGGGTACGGAATTCGGGGAAATGTCCTAGCGTGGAAAGAAGACTTTCTACATGACCGCAAGCAATGTGTGGTGATTAATGGCACGAAATCATCATCCGTACCTGTCACAATCGGGGTACCACAGGACAGTGTATTGGGCCAGCTGTTGTTTGTTTGTTTCATAAATGACATGCCTGACGTTGTACACTCCTCCATACAAATGTTTGCCGATGACGCCAAGTTATTTCGGGAAATCAAGAACCAAGCGGACTGTGAGAGCTGCAGAATGGTCGAAGAAATGGCTGCTGAGATTCAATGTCACGAAGTGTAAGAGGATGCACCTGGGGCGTACCAACGGTAAGGAGGCGTATCATATGTCCCAACGGAATGAAGAAAGTGCAATATTTGAGACTGAATGTGAGAAGGACCTTGATGGGTATGTTGACAATGAGCTGAAGTTCTCTGGCCATTGCGAGAAGAAGGTAAATCAGGCAAATAAATTATTGGTTCTTATAAGAAGGTCGTTCAGATATCTAGACGGTCCGTCCCTTGTAACGATCTTCAAGAGTGAAGTGCTTCCCCATCTGGAGTACAGTCACCCCGTCTGGTCCCCGAGATATGCTAGGGACTGTCAGTTGGTTGAAAATGTTCAAAGGAGGGCCACCAGACTGGTGCCTGCACTTCGGCACATCAGCTACCCTGAGAGATTGGAGCGCCTGAACTTGCCTAGCTTATACTACAGACGGGCAAGGGGTGACCTAATTGAGGTGTATAAGCATCTCAAACTACTCAGTCGAGTGTCCTTACCTGAGCTGGCGGACGCTCGCCCCCACAAGGGGTCACAGCTCAAGATAGAAGCCGCAAGTCCAGAAAACTGTGAGGGCAAACTTTTTCGAGGAGAGTTGTGAACTCTTGGAACAATCTACCAGAAAGTGTTGTAGCGGCACCGAGTGTGAGCTCTTTCAAGACAAGACTTGACCAACACTGGAGCAGGTTCAGGTACATTCAGGAGCCGGTGTATGCCCAGTACTTGCTAACAGTGCGTAACAGAGACGTGACCGATCGCCCAAGCGGCTAACGAGTCGATCATTTGGTGAAGAGGATAAAAGAAAAGGAAAAGTAACAGAGACGTGACCGATCGCCCAAGCGGCGAACGAGCCGATCAGTGGCGAAGAGGATAAAAGTAAAAAGTAAAAAGTAAAAAATAACCAGTTTTCTCTAACCTTTTTAACCGCGCAGGCGGTGCCCTCTAGCGCCGGGTGTGTGCGTAAGGCGTGTCGTGTTCTGGCACCACAACTCCCGGCACACGAACTGATGGACGGTATGATCATCTCATTATATTAATCCAGAATTATTAATACAGATACAGATATAATTAAAAAACAAATACAAAAACAGTACAGTCAGATATAAACACAATATGAACGTCCCAATATATTTTGGAAGAGAAAGGGGTCTGGAACGTATTTCTATTAGACAGTTAATTACCGTATTACAAGCTTAGGTCACTATCTTAACTGCCTCTGGGTTGTGTTTACTGAACTGTATATATTTTACGCTTTATGTCACTAAAAAAACATTTTCTTGAGTGTCGGGGAGGCACTGTAAAGATGTTTGGAGATAATTAATCTTTACCCAAAAAATACCCAGAACAAAATATTACAGAGACCGTAAACGTTAAATACAATCCAGACACAATTTAAGGCAGTTTGGAATCACCTGCTGCTCCCCCAAGACATCACTCACGTTGTAGGGATATTTGGAGGTGACGTAGGGGCTGAAGGTGGCGCCCTCAGCGAAATTACATTGGTCCTCTTTGGTGTAAAGTTCCCCCGGCAGTAGTTCCTTGCTGAAGTGAAGGCTTGGCCTTCCTGCCTTGTCCACCAGGCAGTCATAAGTCAAGCTTGAAGGGAGAGCAGGCGAGGGTGAGGCATCTCTTATGTTTAGTGGATGGAAGATGGTGGGATGACTTATCATCTCCACACACCCACAGCCTACACACACCCACAGCCTCACACACCCACAGCCTTCACACACCCACAGCCTTCACACACCCACAGCCTACACACACCCACAGCCTTCATACACCCACAGCCTTCACACACCCACAGCCTCACACACCCACAGCCTTCACACACCCACAGTCTCCCACATCCATAGCTTCCCTCACACTCACTGGATTCCCCACACCTCATACCCCCTCCACCTCCCTGACCCACACACACCACCACCCACACACACATCCACCCCCCACACACATCCACTCCCCACACACACATCCACCCCCCCACACACACACATCCACCCCACATTATACATCCACACACCATCCACTGCCCCCACACATCCATCCTCCCCCACACACACATCCACACCCCGCCACACACATATCCACCCCCACACACACACCCACCCCACACACACATCCACCCTCCCCAACACACACATCCACACCCCCCACACACATACATCCACCCCACACACACATCCACCCCCACACACACATCCACCCCCCACACACATCCACACCCTTCCCACACACACACTCCACACCCCCCCACACATATCCACTCCCCACACACACATCCACTCCCCCCACACACACATCCACCCTCCCCACACACACACATATCCTCCACCTAAGAATTTTATAAGATTTCCTATAAGATTCACACTGGATTTTATGACTTTCGAGGATAAAAAAGAAGACAATTTTCAAGGATCCTTAGGATACCGGAAGGACTTTTCATCATCATCATCATCATCATCAATTCATACAATCATCATCATCATCATTATCACCAATTCATATAATCATCATCATCATAAACTTACTATTTAAAAAACTCCTTTACTTCTTTGTTGGAGCACCTGGACCAGAACCTTGCCTGGTCCGGTCATGGCGGACATCAGGTACTTGTTGCCGTCACAGCTGTTCTCATCAGGTTTGGCTCCATCGTGTGACATACCCAGGCTGGGGAGGGTACAGCATAGTTTAACGTGAGGAGGAAGCAACCATAGCTGTATCAGAGAGAGGTACACCATAACCATCGGAGGTGGACGATGAGGCACCATAGTTTACTGAGAAGGATTATGGATATACACCATGAACTATCATGATAGGGTACACCATAGTTTACCGTGAGGGAAGGATTGAAGTATTATGAAGGAAGGGCTTAGTTTACCATGAGGGACATGTACGTACAATCAAAGACAAAAGTTGTATCGCGGTTTTGTCCGGATTAAATATAACTCTTAAAACATTATGAGAGCCTCCTGCCAGAAGGCAGAGCGCACCAAAAGTTTTAGCCTTTCTTTTATTCTCTTCACCACTGATCGGCTCGTTAGCCGCTTGGGCGATCGGTCACGTCTCTGTTACGCACTGTTGGCAAGTACTGGGCATGCACCGGCTCCTGAATGTACCTGTATAACGACCACGGTCTTCAAGTTAGCGCCAAAATCAAATGATTCATATTACGCTCAATAGCCCACAAAACATGTAACTCGGCTTTTATTTTGAGTCCTCCATCTGAGGAGTCCGTTTTCTCATCACTTCAAGACACCTCAGTCCTCCACATCCCATTTTTCCGACTTACTGAAACCAACTTTCCATAAAAATGAATTTGAATGTGAGAGAGAACACCTTGTTTTGGAGAGTCAACTTAGATATGTCTGTTTACAGTTGGAACATTCTAGATCCATTGTAAGTGGTGTTGAACGCTTCAAATGTCCTTATTGTTAGTAAGACGTCAAGTAAGTGAGCAATGAGTCGCCAGCCAGAGTGGCGTATTTTATGCGTCGTCCGTGGGGATACCCATGAGTTTCTGATCGCTACTGAAGCGTATTATTTCGTCGCCCTGACATCAGAGAATCTGATGTTTATAGTTTAGTTAGTGCTGAAGGTCTATTTAAGAAAGTCATTAATCTCTGAACTGTTCCTGTCAAACTCAAAATTTCCAAGACTTAACGTGCCGTTTGACCTGGGATGTGGTTTTGCGGTCAGGCCAATAGAGTTGCGAACGCACATATAACTCCATTTCACCTCTTACTGACAAACTCAATCTCTGATTAGATCATAAATATAGATGTAGAAAATATCTGGATCTGTGACACTGACGGTCACAGCTAGTGTCCAACGACTACTTTGAATAGAGGGTCTATTGTTAGGTATGATTAGTCTTTCTAGTAGGATATGCCTCAGGCCCGTATATATATGCCGGCGCGAGAAATCAATTCTCTGTGATTTCTTTTCTCCACGTCTCTGTGTGCATGTTCACGTGTTCCACGCAGCCATATTAACGCTTAACTTAGTCAATTTTTGTGAATATCAGTGTTCATGTTTTAACATAGTAACTTCTACAATTGAGTAGAGTAAAGCAGAGATCTAGCTATCGTTTGGACCCGTGCCAGACGTATGTTTTGTATAGTGAAGTTAAATATTCAACTCCCTCTGTGATTTCTTCTCCACGTCTCCAGACGCTGGTGGTGTTAGCAACCTCCTGAGGTCTGGTAGCTACTCTGCGGACAAGATGGTTCTCTGAAGGATGTCTCTAAGAGGGAGAGATTAAAATCCCAAGACACAATTCCCCCAGGAAGCGCCCTCAACACTCTGCCAGTTTGTCACGAGTCAACCTCCCTGGGTGCACCTAGAGAGCGAGCCTTCAGCTTGGCGGTCTCTGTAAACAAATGTGCCGGCTGACTCCACCTGGTGATTGTAATTCATCTATTTGCATGGAGCTGTATCGACCTGATGTTTGGAGGGATAACTAGCAGAAATATAGTATCCCAGGTTAAGTATTGAACCACTGCATGAGAGTTCACGGTACCAGGTTGTTCCTTGTGAACTAACAAGAGGTATTGTATGTTACTATAAGTGTGGAGTTGTCCAGTGTGTTATGTATTCGTCTGTAGTGACCATGAAAGAATAAATCAGAGAGTGTAATGTTTCAACCAAGAATTGAAGAAAAATTGTTACTTGTTAAAGTAAGACCAGGGTCCAGTGTGATATCTTGGTGAATAAAAATTACTGAATCTCATTGTCAAGGTAACAGTACCACAATTGTCTAAAGAAGCAATAAGTATTTGGAGGTGTTTAATGAGTGTAATAAGTTCTTGAAGTGTTTGATGACTTAATAAGAATTGGTGGTTCTGTTTGTCTGAGTGAAATTAAGATGCATCTTATCCACTACCGTGTTAATAAACATTGAATTAGTAACTACGAGTATCACCATTCTACCCTTCTAAAACATTAAGTTCCCAGAAAATAATACTTACTCACGTGCCTATACATCTACCACACTACCCAAAGCTTTCCACATGAGTTATGTTATCTTTCTAACCAAAGGTCTGGTGGTGACAGCCTACTTGTAAATATATTGGTGTCTTGAGAATAACATGGTTCCCCAGACTAACCCATGTATAAGAATAGACGTAAAACAGAGTATACTTCAGAAAGGTAAGAACATTGAACTGAGTAAATATAATATATATGATAGAAATGAAGACTTGGATGTACAAGAAAAGAAAGATAAGACATGTATGTACATTAGAACTAACGACAGAGTAGAAATTATTAAAATAAATAAAATATGAAAGTTTAATAAAGAACAAACATAACTGAGAAGAGAATTACTTGTATAAGAATATGTTATACTTATAAATAAAGAATTGAAGAATAATAACAGAAAAGAATATCTGGATGGTAAATTATAAAATGGGAAGAACTCGGCCCGTTACACCTGAACCGCCTCCAGTGTTGGGGCATATGTTTTCACCAAATTTCACGACACGACTTTTGTCTTTCATTGTACTTGGTGAGGGACAGAGGGAAGAACATGTACTTAGTAAAGAACACATAGAAGAACAAGTACTTGGTCAAGAACACATAGAAGAACATGTACTTGATAAAGAACAAAGAACATATACAAACAAAGTATTAAAGGGGGTGGGGGGGGGGGCTCACTTGTGTCCCATCTCGTGTGATATGACGTAAACAGACTCGAAGCTCGTGCCCTCGTTGATGGTGCAAGAATATCTCGGGTGACACATCCCCGACACCCACGCTAGACCTGCCGAGAGTAAGAGGGACTTTAACCTTAACCCGAGGCTTACTGAGGGGCATTAACCATTCCTTACGATTACAACTATTTACTTAAAGGTGTTGTTAACTTGTTACTGCCGGTATACTCATTACAATTATTGCCAGCATATCCATACCACCACTGTCACCATCGTCACTATTAATCCACATAACACTATATCACCACACACCATCTCCACACCACATCACTATACCTATGACGGTGTTGAGGGATGGGTTACCGTCCCACATATCGTCCCCAGACATCATGAGCGCGTGGTCCCAGAGTGTATCTCCTTTCTTGGTGTTGTTTAAGTTTCTTTTGCCAAGTGCAGAAGTTGCTGAGGTACCTGTAGAGATGAGAACCATTACTGAGAGAGAGAGAGGAAGAGATATATAGGTAAATAGAGAGAACTAGAGGAAGAGAAAGAATGAGATCAAAATCAAAATGGGAAAATGAAGAAAGGGGGGCGAAGAAAGAAGAGAGAGAGAGAGGGGGGCGAAGAAAGAAGAGAGAGAGAAGGGGCGAAGAAAGAAGAGAGAGAGAGAGGGGGGGCGAAGAAAGAAGAGAGAGAGAGGGGGCGAAGAAAGAAGAGAGAGAGAGAGGGGGGGAAAGAAAAGAGAGAGAGAGGGGGCGAAGAAAGAAGAGAGAGGAGGGGGGCGAAGAAAGAAGAGAGGGGGGGGGCGAAGAAAGAAGAGAGAGAGAGGGGGGGCGAAGAAAGAAGAGAGAGAGGGGGGTAAAATGAAGTTATAATCCCGTTAATACTCACAGCTGGATGTCACCGTTGGGTTTGTCGGGGGGCGGAGGATGACTTGATGATGTCGAGTCTGACCAACGTGATGAGGTATGTCGAGTGAGAGCGTTGTAGATGATGTTTACCTGAAGATACAAGGGAGGAGGAGATCAGGTGGTGTAGCAAGTGAACGATATTAATCATGTGGCGCCTGTAAACTTACACATACACACCCTTGTTACGTATACACAACACAACACACTATACACTACACGCACAACAATACATCCATCACAACACAACACACTAAACACTACATGAACAACGCTACACTACACATTATTCACTACACACACACTACACACAAGAGAGAGAGAGAGAGAGAGAGAGAGAGAGAGAGAGAGAGAGAGAGAGAGAGAGAGAGAGAGAGAGAGCGAGAGAGAGAGCGAGAGAGCGAGAGCGCGAGAGTGAGCGAGAGCGAGAGAGAGAGAGAGAGAGAGAGAGAGAGAGAGAGAGAGAGAGAGAGAGAGAGAGAGAGAGAGAGAGAGAGAGAGAGAGAGAGAGAGAGAGCGAGAGAGAGAGAGAGAGAGAGAGAGAAGAGAGGAGAGCGAGGAGAGGAGAGAGAGAGAGAGAGAGAGAGAGAGAGAGAGAGAGAGAGAGAGAGAGCGAGAGAGCGAGAGAGAGAGAGAGAGAGAGGAGAGCGAGAGGAGAGAGAGAGAGAGAGGAGAGAGAGAGAGAAGAGAGAGAGAGAGAGAGAGAGAGAGAGAGAGAGACAACCACCCAATACTAACCCCATTCATGATAGTCAACACGAGTTCTGTAACCTTCTGAGCCAAGTCTGCCCCGGGATTATTCTTCATAATAACCTGATACATGGAATCGTCAACAAACACTGCCGTCTCGATGTGTTTCTCGCCAGTGGCGGCCTCTCGCTTGGCCCTCTCGTGTTCTTCTTCCCCCTCCTTCTCGTTTACGTCTTCAAGTTTAACGATGAACCGAGGGGCTTTCATGGCGTTCAAGTCTGTAAACGGATGTTGCATTTATGTATTAATTAGATGAGGATTTTGATATAGAGGTTAGTGATAGGTTAATTATATTAGGATTTTGATATTGAGGTTAGTGATGGGTTAATTAAATGATGGTATTGGTATAGAGGTTAGTGATAGTGTTATCGCCACGCATAATTGTGCGCGCCGGTCACATGTTAAGTGAAGAAACTGTTTACAACTCAGAATAATATTACTAAGCTACCACTCCACCCGATGTCTCCATGAGATGTATCAAGTGAAACATGTATATGGAGCAAGTGACAAGATCACTAGATTACAAGATGTTGTAACCGCTAGATTAAGGTTAGGATATAAGTACCTCTGGCAGTATGTTCCTCAAGCAGATGTAAACAAGACTAAATGTAAAGTGTGTATTACATATATTGCCACACACTCTAACACTACGTCCTCGACTGTGTGAAGATAGAACCTTTAGGACAGGTCCGCACACTGTGTGTGAAATGGCACAACACTTCATCTCTAATGGCAAGATAGCTGACATATTAAGATTGTATCCACTTTCACTTATGCAAACTATATCAGTTCTCAAAAATAGAACCAAATACACAATGTGCTTGAATACTTCTCACGCAAATGTGAAGAACAAAGTGTGAGGCCAGACATACTGCCTCACACGCCTGTACTCAAGCATTTGTGAATGTTACCCTTTATGTATAGAACTAAACAAATAATGTAATTGAAATACTGTGTAATGTTCAGTGCCATAATATCCTGACAACGGGGGTTAATTATTATGACCCGTTGTAAACTCTACTCTGTAATCTTTTTGCGCTACCGCTCACAGGATAAGTGTGGGGTGCACAATAAAGTAGCCGCTGTAAGCGGCAAAATAAAAAATCAATCATGACCGCGTGAGGTCCATTTATATCAACACCCAAGGACGAGTTACTACACCACGTGAACACCACACCACCTGGTGTCTCCATGACCAGCCCACGTCCGGGCCATCAACTGTAAACTATAATAATTTGTATGTTCATTCATTGTACCTTCTTCTTTCTTTAGTAATGAGAGCTTTTGTTAAACGACTCACCTACCCCATGCCTTTGTATGTAATAAGTCATTTATGTCCTGTGTATATTTTCAGCCTTCGGGCTTACTTGATAAACCGTTAATGATTTATTTATTATCACACACACACACACACACACATACACACACACACACACACACACACACACAAACCCCCCATCACTCACCAAACACGGCACACTTGGCATTCTTGTTCCTGGTATGAATGACGTGTAGGCCATCTGACGTTATATCGTCGTCTTCCTCCTCGTCGTAAGTGTCGCTCCCAGTTACGTCAGACTTGTCGTCGTCACCAGCAGGAGATAGTTGTCGTCGTCGTCGTTGTCGTTTCACTTGAGTGTCGTTCTTAACTGGTCGGACGAGTTAGTGTAGTTACTGGACACAATGACGCCAGTCTGAGGGAACAAAACTCACAGTTACTGGACACAATGACGCCAGTCTGAGGGAACAACAAAACTCACAGTTACTGGAGACAATGACGCCAGTCTGAGGAACAAAACTCAAGAGGAGACAATGACGCCAGTCTGAGGGAACAAAACCCAATTACTGGACACAATGACGCCAGTCTGAGGGAACAAAACTCGTTACACAATGACGCCAGTCTGAGGAACAAACTCACAGACACACAATGACGCCAGCCTGAGGAACAAAACTCACAGTTACTGGACACAATGCTGAGGGAAAACACAGTTACTGGACAAATCAGCGAACAAAACTCACAGTTACTGGAGACAATGCCAGTCTGAGGAACAAAATCACAATGGCCAATGACGCCAGTCTGAGGGAACAAAACTCACAGTTACTGGAGACAATGACGCCAGTCTGAGGGAACAAAACTCACAATTACTGGACACAATGACGCCAGTCTGAGGGAACAAAACTCACAGTTACTGGACACAATGACGCCAGTCTGAGGGAACAAAACTCACAGTTACTGGACACAATGACGCCAGCCTGAGGGAACAAAACTCACAGTTACTGGACACAATGACGCCAGCCTGAGGAACAAAAACTCACAGTTACTGACGCCAGTCTGAGGGAACAAAACTCACAGTTACTGAACACAATGACACCAGTCTGGGGGAACAAAACTCACAGTTACTGAACATAATGGCGCCAGTTTGGGGGAACAAACTCCACACCTTTCACATTACTGTACAACACTCAGGAACGCCTAGAAATGCTCAGAAACATTGAGAAACGTTCAGGAACACTCAGGAATGCTCAGGAGCGCCAAGGAACACTCAGAAACACACAGGAACGCTAAAAAGCACCCAGGAACAGAAACACCAACGAACGCACAGACACCCAGTAACGATCAGGAACGCACAGGAACACCCAGGAACCGATGGCATAAACACCCGGAAACGTATAGAATCACCTTGGAACGACCAGGAACGCTCACACAGCCAAAATAATTACCGATCCACGTTCCAGTGACGTCACAGGAGGGAGCACTGACCCTCCTTCTCACTGTCGCGCTAATCTTTACTCAAGCTTTGGTGTTTAATGATTCCTACTTTAAATTCTCACTTAACCAAACGTATCTAAGAGGGTTTCTTTTTATAAACTTAGGAGCGCAAAAAAAAGAATTATTGAGGACGCCATACTCCACAACCTACCACAGCCAGGCTTCTCAGCGCTCTCTAGTTGCCTGTGTTAATACTATGGTGTGATCATACCCGCTGTAATAAATCAATACTGTACAGATTATCCAGTAAACTTCATTGCTAATTCACAGGTCAATCATGGCGTCTCACGCAGCTCTGTGGTAGAGAGATCAATACATCGTGAGAAATACTGAAAAATGTTTGAGGTCATTGGTTAGTTGGACAGTTCTCATTGTTGACACGCCCAGCCTCAACCGACGCTCGTGTTTATAATAACTCTGCACCGACACACTCACACCTGCAATTTAACACAGGAAAAAATATAATAAAAAAACCTCTGGATAAAGTCTTCGTCGAAAAAAATCCCATTGTATAATTTATTTTACTGCTTCCTCTGATTATCACACACACACACAACCAATACAATAGAATCCTCTGCCTATAACGCACCACAATATACGTTAAAAGACTACCATCATCCTTCTTACACACTCTACCCTCTCACCTGCCAACCTGCTTTGCCCCTCACTACCTACCGCTTCCTACCTTCCCTCCCTCCCTCAGGCATCGATCAGTGGCGTTAGTTAGATAGGACAGAGGTAAAACAAGGAGTGTCTGCTACCATAGCTATCATCTAACATAACATGGTTGGGTTGGGTTAAATAAGATTATTTTAGGGTCAGGATTGGTTAATGTTAGGTAAGGTTAGGTTAGGTTAGGTTAGATTTTATCAATACGTAAGCCTCACAAACAACATTGTCATTATACGGAACTTTCTACACAAATACAACACTATAAGTAACTTGACTATATAAAATACCATCACTTAACACTACCAGTTAATGTGTTATGTTAAATTTATACCATTTTGACCCGTATAAAAAGAAATTTTATACCTTGACGACGCCTGAGGCTGGTTGGTGGTAGTAAACATTGTGTGTGTGTGTGTGTGTGTGTGTGTGTGTGTGTGTGTGTGTGTGTGTGTGTGTGTGTGTGTGTGTGTGTGTGTGTGTGTGTGTGTGTGTGTGTGTGTGTGTTTGTGTGTGTAGTCACAGGTAGGTTCCCAGTATCAGTATACAAAATCTATTGACGCAATAGCAATTGTACCTGAATTTGTTACACGTTCTTGAGTAGAATTTTTCATACAGTACTTTACTTCACATATAAATTACGATACTACTGTAGTTAATAACCCTAAGAGGTGACCCTATTGTAATGCATAACAAGGAGTAGATCAAGGAGTGGGTTAAGGAGTGGTAGATCAAGAGGTGGGTTTAAGGTGGGTCAATAGTACAGTAGATCAAAAGTGGGTTAAGAGGTGGGTTAAAAGTGGGTCAGTAGTATGGTAGATCAAGAAGTGGGTTTAAGTAATAGTACAGTAGATCAAAAGTGGGTTAAGAGGTGGGTTAAAAGTGGGTCAGTAGTATGGTAGATCAAGAAGTGGGATTAAGGTGGGTCAATAGCACAGTAGATCAAAATGGGTTAAGAGGTGGGTTAAAAGTGGGTCAGTAGTATGGTAGATCAAGAAGTGGGATTAAGGTGGGTCAATAGTACAGTAGAACAAAAGTGGGTTAAGAGGTGGGTTAAAAGTGAGTCAGTAGTACGGTAGATGAAGAAGTGGGTTTAAAGTGGGTCAATAGTACAGTAGATCAAAAGTGGGTTAAGAGATGGGTTAAAAGTGGGTCAGTAGGATAGTAATCAAGTGGTGGGCTTAAAGAAGAAAAAAAGCACCACACTATCTATGAAGCACCACACAATATATGAAGTACCACACTGTATATGAAGCACCGCACTATCTATGAAGCACCACACTGTATATGAAGCACCGCACTATCTATGAAGCACCACACTATATATGAAGCACCGCACTATCTATGAAGCACCACACTGTATATGAAGCACCGCACTATCTATGAAGCACCACACTATATATGAAGCACCATACTATCTATGAAGCACCACACTATCTATGAAGCACCACACAATATATGAAGTACCACACTGTATATGAAGCACCGCACTATCTATGAAGCGCTGCACTATCTATGAAGCACCACACTATCTATGAAGCACCACACTATATATGAAGCACCACACTATAGATGAAGAACTACACTATAGATGAAGCACCACACTATAAATGAAGCACCACACTATCTATGAAGCACCACACTATAGATGAAGCACCACACTATAGATGAAGCACCACACTCTATGAAGCACTACACTATGTGTACTGATCAGGTGTACTCAAAACTGAGACGGTAATCGATAAGTCAGACAGACAGGTGCGGGGCGGGGTGGTTACGTGTCAAGGTTACCTGCAGTAGAGGTGAGTTGTGAATCAATTAACTGCTCTCACACACACACACACACACACACACACACACACACACACACACACACACACACACACACACACACACACACACACACACACACACACACACGTGACACTGGTATTGAAATCCTTTATCCAAAATCAATATAGTACAGTCATTGCGATTTTTTTATTTGCAAACTATTCTCATCTAGAACAAATCTTTTTATTGTGATTATTTTTATACCCAGGTTTTCAATATGTAGAGGTATATAGTGTATCTCAGATACGTCTGTCTGTCGGTACGTAATGTCGACAGTTCGTTAAAAGCAATACGGATCGAAGTGGAGTTTGCTCTGCAGTTTCAATGTCACGAATACCTACTACGGCAGGTTAGGTTAGGTTAGCTTTGTTTACTATGGCAGACGTGAATGGGACTGAGATCATTAAAGATTTGGTCGAGGAAGGTGAGGCAAGACCATGTGTGTTGACGTGTGAGCCAATACCTATGGTTGCTATATACGTTTCATTGTTTTGTTGGGTTAAGGTTGACAACAGTGTCTCTTTGTCTACTCTTGTACCCTTGCCTTAAGACAAAGGGAGGCTGCTTCAGTCTCTCTGTTATCACAAAGCCGCCGTACAACCGCCATGCAGCCGCCACGAAGCCCCGCCCCCAATGTATGTGTCGTGGTGAAAGACTGAACAGGATAATAATCAGTCCAGCATCACTTGTTTCGCTACAGGACACAGTGACACACACACTCTCTCTCTCTCTCTCTCTCTCTCTCTCTCTCTCTCTCTCTCTCTCTCTCCACCTAACCTATCCGGCCACCCTTCTACACCCAGCTCACCCTTCTACACCCAGCTCACCTTTTTACACCCAGCTCACCTTTTTACACCCAACCCACCTTTCTACACCCAGACACTGTCACACCCAGTCATTCACGCCCAGTCACTGTCACCCCAGTCATTCACGTCCAGTCACGTTCACTCACAGATATTAATGTGTCAGCCAATAGCTTTCAATGGTATGAGTATTGATTTGCCAAAGCTGGTACATAACTCGTGTATAATTTATGTTGACCTTCAGGAGGAAGAGGTGGTGGTAAGGGTGAGGTTTGGTAAGATTTTGAATGCTTGGTGAGAGAGAGAGAGAGAGAGAGAGAGAGAGAGAGAGAGAGAGAGAGAGAGAGAGAGAGAGAGAGAGAGAGAGAGAGAGAGAGAGAGAGAGAGAGAGAGAGAGAGAGAGAGAGAGCTAACACACAAACTCATAGTGGCCACCGACCTATACCAGTACCCAGTAATTATCATAAAGTAACAGTAGTGTCGCAGTACAAACGATAACTCTGGATTTAGGTTGAAGTTGGATCTGGAACCATGACTCAAAACCTGCATTCACCTCCACTGTACTCTCGCGGTTGCAACAGTCAGCGTGAGACGTGACCAACACACTTGCCTTGGTGTAGTGAGGAACAACACGAACACTACCCAGAACATTAATTACTACTACTCCTGCTGGTGACGTGACCAATGAACACGATATCATGCAGTTGCCTTCTTTCATAACAAGGTTCGTGGTTCGATACAAACTTAACTACAGAGTGAACAAACTCCACCTGTGATTTAAGAATTCATTATAAAGAGTACTCCACACGATGCACTGATAAAACACGAAGGATATTTCACTAGGGGGTCTCTTATTCCCGTATATGGTGAAACAAAGGGTATAATACATTAATCTGTTCTATAGAGTCAAGTAGTTAAGGACAGGTAGTGAGGATATGGTATTGAAGTCACAGGTAAGTGTTAACAAGTAATATTTACTCGCCCGTGTGTCCTTCTCGGTCACTGACACACCTGACACATTCCTCCTTCAGGTAATCTTAATAAGGATTTTACGTTTATATCTTCATGAAGTTTGATGTAAAAATACCAAGATGTTCTAAATTACAGGTACTTAGAGACAGGTGTAAACAGAAGCAACACTTACAAAGCCGTGACCGTCGCAGTTGGAGAGCGCCGCCGCGGTGTCTGGTCTACCCTTCGCCACGCCGTAGTAGTAACAGGCGTGGCCCGACATCCCCCGCTCCTCTATGACACCATCCTCGCCCCTTATCACGAGTTTGAAGTCAGGAGACACGAGATCGTAGTTCGGACGTAATTCGAACTCGATCTCGTCCTCGTCGTCCTTGAGGGTGACATCTAAGAAGCCTGGTTTTTCCGTGAGGGTGTTAGAGGATCTCTTCTCCCGAGACCGACTATGGATGTTGATAATGGAGTGAGGAGGTGCTGTGGTAAGTAAAAAGAGAGATCTGGGGGTCACTGAGAGACACCTTGGCTACAGTCAGGTGTTGTGGGGAGTCTTTGATCACTGTGAGAATTTGTGTGTTATTGTGGGATTCTCTGAGATCATATTATAGGAATCTTCCGTGTCAAGGGGGATTCCATAGCTATCGAGGGATTCTTTATTCAGTTTGTGCTGTAAGATTCTAAAGATCGTGACATTTTCTGACTGTTTTGTCTGTTTACGAGACTAATTAAGTGTTTATGTGTCTAAACACCCTAAGATGCCCAGCCACTGGTCACCATAACTAAATAAACAAAACAGAGCTAAAACCTAACATGAATACAACGTGACCGAGTGACTTGAACTGAAAACTTTAACTTGTAGTGAAAAAAAAACCTACTCCAAAATATTCTACAAAAGTTCTCGCTGCAAACTTATCAAAGAAAATGTGTAAAACATAATGAAAACGGGAGACGTGTTCTAAAAACTGTGACGGTATAAGTAAAAGACTCACCTTCCTGACTCCCGAACAAGAAGTCGATGTCTTCTTGGCTCAGTTTTACTGCCGTGTCCGGAGTCTGAGGAGAAGATACAAGCAAGATAATAATAATTAATTAATTATCTTTATCTCGATTATTAAGATTATTAAACCAAATATAAATAAGCCAGATAACAATACTAAAATAGTTAGTTTTATCTGATTTATTGAGAATATTACTTTTATCTTAATTACCAAGATTATTGAAAGTATTATCGTTATTATTATTATTGTAATTATTGCTGCAGGTAATATCTTATATATCAGAGTGGTTGGTGTACTGAAACCTCTATTTAACGGACTATATGGAGAGGAATTCCGTTATATAGAGGACCCGTTAAATGTGAAACCCTCCATCTAACGGATTATATGGAGAGAGAAATCCGTTATATGGAGATTTCACTGTATACTGAAAATCTCAAATGTTACTCACCTTGAGGCCAACAGCTCCACCTCCCAGCAACAGTAGCAGCAACGGAGCCTTCGTCAGTAGCACCATGTTCACCTGACTTGCCTGGCCGTCCACACTACCTCCCCTGCCCCACCACCCTGACTTGCCACTCTTGATACCTAGCCTGTTAAGGATCACACAACACAGGATACTAACAACAGCTAAGACGTCCCCCTCAAGTGAACCCCAGCTCGTTCTGATACGTTGCTGTATTTCTGGGGTGCTCTTGTTAGGTTTAAAGAGCGTTGACTTATTTCTGGGGTGTTTCTGTTGCGTTGACTTATTTCTGGGGTGTTTCTGTTGCGTTGACGTATTCTGGGGTGTATTTGTTGAGTGTAAGGTGTGTTGACGTATTTCTGGGGGTGTTTCCGTTGCGTTAACTTATTTCTGGGGTGTTTCTGTTGCGTTGACGTATTCTGGGGTGTTTTTGTTGAGTGTAAGGTGTGTTGACGTATTTCTGGGGGTGTTTCTGTTGCGTTGACTTATTTATGGGGTTTCTGTTGGATTTAAGATGCGTTGACGTGTTTCTGGGGTATTCCTATTAGGTTTAAGGTGCGTTGATGTATTCTGGGGTGTTCCTGTTGGGTTTAAGGTGCGTTAACGTATTCTGGGGTGTTCCTATTGGGTTTAAGGTGCGTTGATGTATTCTGGGGTGTTCCTGTTGGGTTTAAGGTGCGTTAACGTATTCTGGGGTGTTCCTGTTGGGGTTAAGGTTCGTTGACGTATTCTGAGGTGTTCCTGTTGGGTTTAAGGTGCGTTGATGTATTCTGGGGTGTTCCTGTTGGGGTTAAGGTGCGTTGACGTATTCTGGGGTGTTCCTGTTGGGTTTAAGGTGCGTTGGCGTATTCTGGGGTGTTCCTGTTGGGGTTAAGGTGAATTGACGTATTTCTGGGGTGTTCCTGTTTGGGTTACTGTCCGTTAACGCATTTCTTTGTTGTCCCAAAAGGAATTATGGTCCATAAATGTATTTCGGGGAGGTCCTTGTCGTATTTTTGACGCGGTGACGCATTCTTTTTTTCGCACGTACGAATTTTGGTGGAGATAGTGATGGTGGAGGAGGGTCAGATGCTCCAGGTGACCCACAACACTCCTTAGTCAATGCCCCCTGTGAGAGACGCAACACAATAACACACATATACTCGCAGCGGGTCAATATAACTCACCATTTAAAGTATGCAGTTATAATGATTCCATATTAATCTTTTTATTTTATTGTCGAAATGTGGAGAGAGAGAGAGAGAGAATATGACACACTAAGCCATTCACACACCTGAACACCGTCACCACAACACACATGGTTAACGCGACCCTGCCCAAGACAACCAGGTAGACGGATACGACAGGTGAGGCCAGGTGTGTTATATAAGTAAGAACATTTTATAATCTCTGTCTTGTGAAATGGATCAATAATAATCATAATTCCTATACTGTTTCATGTATTCTCTCTCTCTCTCTCGCTCTCTCTCTCTCTGTAATTTTTCTCTCTTTTACATAATACAGGTTAAGGGCCACAACACTATACCAAGTCACAACACTGTACCAGGTCACAACACTGTACCAGGTCACAACACTATACCAGGTCACAACACTATACCAGGTCACAACATTATACCAGGTCACAACACTATACCAGGTCACAACACTATACCAGGTCACAACACTATACCAGGTCATAACACTGTACCAGGTCACAACACTATACCAGGTCACAACATTATACCAGGTCATAACCACTGTACCAGGTCACACCAGGTCACAACACTATACCAGGCCACAACATTATACCAGGTCACAACACTATACCAGGTCACAACACTATACCAGGTCACAACACTATACCAGGTCATATACACTGTACCAGGTTATAACACTATACTAGGTCACAACACTGTACCAGGTTACAACACTATACCAGGTCACACTATACCAGGTCACAACGCTATACCAGGTCACAACACTATACCAGGTCACAACACTATACCAGGTCATAACACTGTACCAGGTTATAACACTATACTAGGTCACACTATACCAGGTCACAACACTATATCAGGTCACAACACTATATCAGGTTACAACACTATACCAGGT